AAAACAGAGTATACGCAGAGGTTTTTAAATTTCAGTCACTCTGTTTCTTGGTTTTTGTCGCAATGGTTTGGTGGGGGTAAGGAATACTTGTTTAAAATGGTCTTCACTTGAAAGATTGGTAAATCAAGACGATCATAGATTCAAAATCATTGACTTTTGATAATAATCATGTGGAGCAAGATAAAGCTGTCGTTTGGTTGAACATGTGATTTTGACCCTTTGGGATAGAGGGTGGTCTGATTAAGGGCTGACAATTGATAACATGGCCTTCTTTAGCAGACGACACGTAAGAGAAAATCTATCCTTTTTTAAATGACGAAAATAGCCTTCAAAGTCAATAATCGTGGACCAACTGCGAGTTGGGTTTGGACCGCTAATGTCAATCGTCTAAGCCCTAAGGAAAGGACTTAAAACAGAGCCATTAACCATTAAACGAGCTCAAGGCACTTGATTCACGACCTTGGGCTATTGACCCAATTCTTCGAGCAGGTGCGTGCGAGCATGTGCCGGGCGTGAGCAGGCGCGAGGAGCGTATGTGTCAGGCTGGGAACGAGCCGTGCGTGGCTCTACGCATGGCCCTCGAAGTGCCAAGTTGTGGACTTCATGTACTTTTGTTTTGGAAAACAATAAAATAAGGATTACTTTATCTGATAATGATGTCCGATACTAAGTCGCCCACAAAGTTCAAAACTCAAAGTCTCACAAGTGCTGCCAACTTCACCAACTTTGTTCCGTCTGCAGCCACAACTCAACCACCTCATACTCTCTCTTAACATTTTTAATTCCCGTCTTAATTGCAATTTCCATATTTATATTATAATTAAAAAATAAAATATACATTTTATTTTATTTATATATAATAATTATTAAAATTTTAAATTACATTATTTTCATATTATATTTATATCATATTATTATATGATATTTTAAATTATTAGATATAATTCAAACTTTCGCTCCTTTCACTTTCTCTGACAATTATTGTTGTCAATAATTTTCGTTACCAAAGTTAGCCCGTTCGGGAGCATAACTTGATCCAATGAAAAATTGGAAGGTCATTGCGCGTGCAGTGATGAGTCTTTTTTACTGCAACTCCAATTCCATCAAACAACATTAAATTTTTTTTTTTATAATTAAAATAAAAAATTTTATATTTTATTACATAAACAATGTTTTTTGCGTATCGGAAAGAGTTGCTTCCTAGAAATCTAGAGGATGAGGCCAAGGCAAGTCGAATGGAAAACGAAAGAAGGGTTGAAGCGTGAAAGGATGAAGACTACTCTCTGCTTAAGCAACTGCTTCTTTTATGAGCGAAACTAGCTTGCTATCCTAGTATTATTATTATTTTATTTAAATTTAAATAAAAATAAAAATTAATATTATTAAATTATTGATATATTTAAAATATATATAATATATAAATAATATAATTAAACTAACAAATCATAATAAAAATAAGAATTTTTTTTATTTTGCAGAAAGTTATAAAAAAATTTATTCTATAATAATAAAGTTTTCATAAAATTCTTTTTTTTTTCAAGAATCTTAGTAAAATCTTTTATGATTCCAAGGTGTTTTTAAGTTAAAATATAGATAAATTTAAAATTAATACTACTAATAAGATTATTTTTTAATTAATTATTTTTTATTTTATTTTTTTATGAATAATAACTTTTTTTATTTGAAATTATGTTATGTGTTTTACAATAAGAATATGAGTTAAAAAATTATTCACTATTTGAATGTACAATTGACACATAAATTTTTATTGAAGGCACATAACTCTATTTTATCAATTAATCAAAGTATTATTTTTATTTTATATGAATGAAAAATATTGAATAAATTAGTTTTTTTAACCCGCACAATGTATGAGATTTTTATTAAGTTTTTATAATTTTAAATTTATTTTTTAATTATTTATCTAATATATAATCATATATTTATAAATACTAAATTACAATTAAATGATAATTTATACATAATTTATTATAAATGATATTATTCATCTAAAAAAATCTAAACTTTTGTAAATTTTTAAGAATTATAAAAATATTTTTTCATTAAAAAATATTTTCTTCAATTTATTTGCTAAATAATAAAAATTTTACTATCCTTTTTTTTTGTTTGATAAAAAATCAAGAATCAATGTTTAAATAGTTGAAATTAATAATTATTTTTATCATAATGTTGATTAGGTGGTGTGTATACATATATATATATATATATTTATTGAAAAACAAATCACAATTATTAATTTTGTTATAATTATTTGCTTTCTATTAGTTATTATTTTTGACATACTTCAAGTAATTATACAACCATATTGGGTTAACAATTATTTCTATATATGTCAACAAAATAAAGTTATTTTTAGATAAAAGGAAAACAATAATTATTTATTTAATGCTTAAAAACTTTTTTTTTAATATTTTTTTTTATTTTTAATCATTTTTAATAAAAATAATAGTATTTTTTGTGAGTTAGATATAGTAGTGATCATCATTATTCTCATATCATCCATTATAGACAAAGAAATTTAACAACAAAAAGTATGGAAAAATAAAATAGAGAATATAAATTTATATATTATTTTGTCAAGATTAAATATATACAATAATAAAAGTAAATATATTAACAAATTAATAGAAAAAAAACATTGAAGAAATTAATAAAACAAAATAAATATATAATATAAAAAGTTAATTATAATCAATCTAAGTAAAATTAAAAAAAGTTATAGACTAAAGACAAACAAATAAATTAACCAAATATATACTATAAAAATATTTGAATTATAATATAAATAAAACATTATATTTGTTTTCAAAGCAAATATATATTTTTATCTAACTTTTTTAACAACATTTAAATGTATCATATTTTCATATAAATATGTAAGCTTTTATTACTTTAAAAGTAAATACTTTTTAGTCAATAATTCATTAACTTATCTAAATGTATTAAATTTAAATAATCTATTAAATGATTTTTAATTTTAATAGATATTGATTTGAATTTAAATAATTATCTAAAAATATTAAATTTAAATAGTTTATTAAATATAATTATTTGACAAAAAATAAAATTTTATTAAGTATATATATTTGGAAATGCCATTAAATTTAAAAAGAAAAGATAAATTATAATTTAATAAATTTAAATTCAAATCTTATACAAAAATTTTAATCTTAGATAGATATTAATTTCAATTTAAATATTATCCAAAATATTCAGTTTAAATAATTTATCAAAAAATTTTATTTGATAAATAAAATAATATAAATATTATCATATGTGTCATTAAAAGATATTATCCACTTAGACATCCACATAAATAATTTTGATTATGTAACATTGTATGTTGTAATATAATATATATATATATATATATATATTAGATGATTAGTTACAAGATAAAATATATTACCTAATTGAGTAATTCGCGAAAAAACAAAAGATCTGCATATTACACAAGTAAAAATATAAGAATATATGGTTTTTTAGTTTTTGTATATATATTTTTTAATATTATAGCTAAAAAATATATTGCAGTTGATTTAAAAAAAATCTTACATGATGAAGCGAATGGTATGTTTAGTGAAATAGTATCTCTAACTTGATGGAATAAATAGTATATTTAATAAAATAGTACCTATCATAAAATAAAAAAAAAACGTTTTAGTTCCTACAGTAATAATAGACTAATAAAAATAGAGACTAAATTAATAGTTAGAAAAAATAAGTTTAATTTAGTGAGAGTTTGGAAAAACTATATAATTAAGAATTACCAACAATTAAGACTTTCCTGAAGTTGTTACGGTATTTATATTTTTTTTCACATTTTTGAAATATATTTAAAAAAGATAATGCAATAATTATTTATAAAAAATATTACAAATATGAAATAATATTTTTAAAAGTTGTGAAATTTTTAAATATTCATATTAACTGTAGATAAATTAAAAATGATATATTATTTTAAAATTTGTTTTAAATTTAGATGATGTGAAATACAATAAAAACTTTTTAGAAGTTGTTTTGGTATTTATATTTTCTTTTCATATATTTTTTCGTGAAATATATTTAAAAGCTGGAGATAATGTAAAGATTATTTATAAAACATATTAAATATATTAAATAATAATTTTAAAATATGTGATAAATTTAAATATTTATGTTAATTGTAGATAAATTAAAAAAAATAAATTATTTTAAAATTAGTTTTAAATTATGATGAGGTGATATATAAGAGAATATTTCCTAAAGTTACTATGATATTTATATTTTGTTTTTCACATTTTATTTATGAAATATATTTAAAAACTAAAGATAATGTAAAGATAATTTATAAAAATATTTAAAATATTATATAATATTTTAAAAATTATAATAAATTTAAATATTCATGTTAATTTCAGATAAATTAAAAAAGATAAATTATTTTAAAATTAATTTTAAATTGAGATAAGGTTACGTACAGGAGAAAAATATTTTATTAAAATTTAAATTAATTTTTGATTAAATTTTAAAATTTTAGATAATTTAAATATTTTTAAAATATATATTTTATAAATAATTTAAAATTAATAATTATTTTATGTCTCATCATAATAATAAGTTTTAAAAATTATCTTACGTGTAGGAAAAAACTATATATGTAAGTACTCACATCAGTAATTATTATCTGATAATTATATATATTGTAATATAATATATATATATATGATTATATTTATGTATGTTTAAATCTTTTAGTATAATTTTAAATTTTATCATCATTTATAATTTTTTATTTCAATACTATAAGTAATTAATTATAATAAAAATTTATATAAAAGTTTACAACTTAAAAATATGAATCTTACATAATTTTTTAATAAATTTCATATAATATTAAATTATAATTAATTAATTATACGACAAGTAATATACTCTCACTTATAATTGAGTATTTAAGATAATAATCATCTGTTATTATTTATTACTCCTAACAAACTTTTACAAAAAAAAAAAAAACAAACTTATTTTTCAAAATAAAACCTTCATTTCCCCATTTTCTTTTTTTAGAATACCAATTTCACCAAGTTTTTATTCTTCCACAAAGGAATTACACTGTTACAACAACAAACCAAAGGATTCAAGTGACTAAAGCTAGGAATTGGCCAAAATTTAATTATAAAGCCCACGAGAAATTTAATACTAATATAATCCCCATTGTCGATTTTCAGTTAACCTTTTTGGTTTCTCTCCGCCGGAGGTTTGTCTTCAACAAAACCGTCGACTCTCTTTGCTGAAATCTTTACCTCTTAAAGACTTCATTTTCGGAGAGACAAAAGGTAGCCATGGAAAGGCTTCTATACTCGTCTTCTCCAACCCCTTTGGAAATCTCTGGAAAGCCCTCTCCTTTGAGTTATCGACTCGCCAGATTCGACTATCCTAAACTCAATTTCCTTCCTTCACTCACTCGACCACAACTCAGGCGAGTTATCTCAGTTTCATGCAAATCCGAGAACCCATCTCGGTTTTCTTCTCCTCAAACCAATCCACGCAATGAATTGCCTTCACTCGGTTCTCCCCGAGTCGAATCAGCTTATGGGTCAACACCCAGTTCCAATTTCCTCAAGCTTATTGCAATTGGAGCTTCTGCCCAAAGAAAGGTATGATTTTTATGCAAGTTTTAGTAAAATTATTGGTTTTGAGTTAAAACAAAAAGAAAAAAATGGAGGCTTTTTCAGAGCTTTTTTTTCGTTTTTGTTTAGAAGAAAAGCATGATTTGGCAAATTGAGCTTAAGAATTGCGGAACTTTAGTGGTGTTTAATTCTGCTTAAATTAATGGTTGTCTTGGTCAATATTTGATTAAGGATTTATGGTTATTGGATGAAGAAATTTTGTATCCATAAGGTTGTCTTGTTCTTAAAAAAAAAAAAAAAAGAATATATGGGGGACTAGTGATGATGAGGCAAAAATGGACTTCTGATTTAAATAGTTGTTAGGATTGAAGAATGGTTGGGAGGGATATCTAGTGAGGGAGCAAGGGGCAACAAGCAATTTAGCTGAGTTATTCATCCATTATCATTCCATCTGAATTTTCTTATGTTATTGCACTTTTTGGTGTATCGTTTAATGCTTAAAGTAATGTAAAAAGTGAAGAATTTAAAATTACCAGGGAACTGGATATTGAGTTTCTATTAGTTCATTTTCTGGTTCTAGTTAGGGCAGACAACGATGGACTTGTTAAATGAATTAGGTCTTGCCAAACTTTGTGATAAGCCAAAGTAGAGTTCATGCTCTGCCCACGTAGACTTGCGTATGGAAGATAAAAAGTCATTCATGTTATTTGTCTAGAGGCTTACGATAATAATAAAATTCTGTGGAGATTGAAGGCAGCTAAGTCCTCTTTATTTACAAAGAGTAAAAACAATTTTGTATTCTATACATGTTTCAGGCAATCACAGCTGGGACGTTTGTAGCTCTCTCCGCCATTATCATGTTCTTAATCCAACCAATTTTTGCACCAGCAGCTTTTGCAACCTTTCAAACTGCTGCTAAAACCAGTGGAACTGCAGCTGCTGCTGTCGGTGGCAGAGTAATCCGCACTGAAATACTAAGTAGCGCATGGACTGGTTTCTTTGCTGGTTGCTTACACACTCTGTCAGGGCCTGACCACCTTGCTGCTTTGGCTCCGCTATCAATTGGTCGTACTCGAGTGGAAAGTGCTGTTGTTGGAGCTCTGTGGGGCTGTGGCCATGATGCTGGCCAGGTTATCTTTGGATTACTATTTCTACTTCTAAAGGACCGACTTCACATTGAAGTTATCCGGACTTGGGGTACAAGAGTGGTTGGCTTAACATTGCTTGCTATTGGAGCTACGGGTATAAGGGAAGCTTCAGAAGTTCCTGCCCCTTGTGTTGCCTTAGAAAATGGTGAGTGTGATGTCAGCATTTACGAGACAATTGAAAACCCAGCAGTTGGGAAAAAGACGATTGGTTTTGCTACCTTTGCCACAGGGATCATTCACGGGTTGCAGCCAGACGCACTGATGATGGTTTTGCCAGCACTTGCTTTGCCATCTCGCTTGGCTGGTGCTGCATTCCTTATTATGTTCTTGCTTGGAACTGTTGTGGCAATGGGAAGCTATACAGTGTTCATAGGCTCATGCAGTCAAGCATTAAAGGACAGGGTGCCCAGAATTACTGAAAAACTTACTTGGGCCTCTTCCCTTGTAGCAATTGCTCTTGGAATTGCCATTCTCGTCAGCCAATTTTTTGGATACAGTCTCTATTGATCTAACTGACCCAGCATCAAGATATGCACTTTGAGCTTCGTTAGCGTTAGGGAAGGTGTTAGAAAGGATATTCAGATTTGTTTACAGCAAAATTTAATCTGCGAAGCATCTTTGCCTCATTGAGAATCATCATCTTATCTTGTTTACTTTATCAGTAAAGCTGTTCGAAAAATTCTTTTATTATGGTTAAGATTTCATGCTTTTTTAAGCCCTAAGCGAGTTATATTTGCTTGAATTGTTCGATGCAAGTTCACATCAGTACAGTTGCAACACTAGCATTCAGGCATTACATTATAAATTCTTCAGTTTCATGTATGGATTGACAGACGAAGCATGCTGGATTTGATCAAAACAGTATTCATATTTGCCGGAAGATATAGAATTCATCACTTGGACTTTAGTTTCAGGAAAACTGAACCTACATCTCAAACCCAAAAGAAGAAAGGAGAAATATGATATATCAAACAAGTTTAAGCCCCGGATCCATGAACCACATTTTAATAAACATCATCATCAGCACCAAGCTGTTGATTTTTCAAAAGCAAGCAAGCCATGTCATGTGATCAGTTGCATCCACGTTTTTGTAGAACAGAAAAAGTTGGGACACACGTCACCCCATATGATGTTTATTTGGAGACCAGAGAAGTGATTTGAGTCACCACTGTCAACATCTATACCTTAATGTCATTAAGCACTTGAGCACAGAAACAAAACTCTGCTCTTGAAATGGAAAATTCAAATCAACTATGGCTTCTGCTTTTTTTCAGTGTCGTAAAGCACACATGCATCTGCTGCTGTCTTCATCTGAAACCACCAAATAAACTCCGTTAATATCCAGCTCATAAAACAGTTGAATTGGTGAATTGGTGTAACACTTGAGAAAAATAAGTAAACCACTCAACCAATTCATTGGTTAATTACGATTAACTAAAACAAGTTAAGAATGTTTTCTGTTTAAACTGGGAATCAGGAATAGAGTTCCGGTGCTTCTACCAGAACCAGCATCTCATTGAAGCAACCATTTCATTTCACACTGAATATTTTCATACATCCATCTAAAGTCGGGTATCAAGCATAAGTAGCTACCTGTATAACGTTGATGATCTGCTTGATTGAGCATCCAAATAAACTTAAAGCAACTAGAAAAGACAGAGGTGAACCCTGTTTCAGAGTAGTCATCATAACCTGAAAGGAAAATAACATAAAGCAAATAGAGAGAAGACAATCAGGATCAAGGTGCAAATGAATCTGCTCTTCAAAAGCGAAAGGAAACATTCCAAGAATCCAGACTTACATCAATCAAATTTTCAGTTTGGTTCCTCGCAATAAGAAATAAGGCTATGTAAAGAACCTACAAAGTCAAGATAGTTTATTCAAGATACAAGTACCAAAAACACGGCAAAGGAAATAGATGGAACAAGGCTATAAACATATAATTGCCTCGCAAGCCACACAACAATAACCCATAAACATTCGGTTCCCATAGTAAAGCTTGAAAAGCCAACTGGAGCTGTCTCTCACATCTTTATGAGTAGCCTTACCCGCTAGGAATGTACTGCAATTTATATATGAAAAGTTAACAAGACATATCCTAGAAATGAAACAATCAAGAGGCATGAAATATGTATTTCAAGGAAAAAAGAGCTACCTGTACATCTGCAGCCAGTGGCTAGCAATATCTAAGGCTAGCAATGACAGGAAAACCAAGCTAGGCCTGCATAAAAATGTGATTGATATGGCAGGATGCAAACATATCAATTTGGCAATATAAATGCACATGAAAGAATGGAAGAAAACTTACCTATAAACTTGAGAAAGTATAACCAGTAGACAAGCAGTGCTAATCCTGAATTACATAATCAAGCAAAATCACTATGGAAACAACTGTGTAATTCAAAATTTCTACTGAGATCTGTGTAAAAGGAACATACTAAAAGATATGGTAAGACAGCCTTAAAAGTTAATGTCCCTCTAAACTCTACAGAGATAGTTTACCTATCCGTCACCATGTCCAGAACAGCTCCAAATGTTGAAGCTGAAGCATGAAGAAAAAAAGGGAATGAATCAGATTGTGCACCTTACAGATGCCATTTTTACACGACATGTCCCATAAAGAACGGCAATTTAAGTAATTAAATTCCTCTATGTGCTATACTTAATTCTAAAATTGATGAACAAAAGCACACATGCCAGTTTGAATAGAAGTTTCAACTACTCTCATAATCATGAATTTGAGGATAAACAAGAGTACTAATCATACCTTGGTTGAATTTGCGGGCACACCAACCATCCAAAGCATCACAAACAAAGCTGCAATCCCAAAATTCAATCATATTTATGTCTATCAAGTTCATCAATCACAAAAGCAGATAAAGCATCATATATCTTAGCTAAAATACTCACCTTAGAAAATAGAGAACAGCAAAAAGTTTTTTGCTAGAAAAGCATTGGGCAAAGGCATAGCAATTTAAGAGAATTCTTATATAACCTACGATGACAAAAACGAAAACAAGTAAAACTCAAAAAACCCAAAATGAAGATGTTCACTATTACACTCAAAAACTATTAAGAAAAGGAACCAACCAATAATATTGGGAATGTAAAGGTAGACAGACAGTTGCCTTGGTCTGGGTTTAGGCTTGTCGGCCATTGAAACTTATTTATGAAATCAAACCTGCAAGAAAACAAATGGGTTAAAAGAAATTCAAGAAAAGAGATTAAGGGTAAGTGATTGGATCTAGGCACGGCCTGGAGGAGCCAAATGTTGAAGTTTTGGTGTGTGGAGTGTGGGTTTCTAATAAAAACCAAAACCAAATTGATTCAAGCAAAAGAGAAATGTGAGGATTCAGAAAAGCCCTTACCTTTGCAGCTTTTTACTGTTGCAGTGACGCTTTGCCAAAGTTCTTTCTCCACCGCCCTTGAACTGATTCTTTGCTTACAGTTTCGGCTATAGATTTTGTTTAGTTTAATCACAAAATTGGTGAGAAAATTAAAAAAAAAAGGATAAAATATTATTATTTCAATTACCCAAATAGTCATTATTTTATTCATTTTTAATATTTTATTTTTTAATATAATAATAAGGGTCATGTTAATAATTATAACAATTAATAAACGAAAAGTCCACTTGAATTTTATACCAATCTAACATAAATCTCATATCCATAAAATAATAGCTTAGATTTGCCATTTTTTATATCTTTTTCCTTAATGGTTTGGGAAAAAAAAAACTTTCATAATATAAGTGTCTCTGACAAAAAAATTAAATTTATTTTTTTCAAAAATACTCGAAAAAGAGTAAATAATTATATAAAACTAAATAATAACCCTTATTTTATTGAAAGAGTATAATAAAAATGGAATCCATATATATATATATATATATAAGGATTTAAAGATTAAATAATGAAAAGGAAAAAAATAATAATATACATATTTATATAATTTAAAGTATTTAAATATTTACATTAATTAATTTCAATGATATTGAGATATAAAACTAATTCATTGAATAATAATTCATTTGTTGTCATGATTAAATTACAAAAAAATAATGAAACCTAGCATAGTATTTCACTATAAAAACAAAAAAAAATTGCTAATTCAAAATATTATTCACGATAAAAAGTAATTTTGATATTTAAAAGAAAAGCGAGATAGAACTCTAAAGTTTATTTAAGTTTTAATAAATTATAGTTTTATTAACAGTTGAATATACAAAAAATATTTATTAGTTTACAACATCTGTGTACTAAAATTTAAACGTAAATAAGTTATTCAGTCTATCAGATTAAGGTAAAATATATCGTATTTAATAATTTAAGACAGATGACTGCAAATCATACATTTAAGATGATCCTAACAAATGACTACCTACAGAACTCAAACCCAATATCTTTTTGTCAAAAAAAACGATCTTAACCGATTGAATCAATCACTTTTGATAGTTTACAACATTATTTATCATAAAAAAGTGTTATTAACGTTAAATATTATTTCCTTTAACATTAAAAATAAAAAAAACCTTTGAAATATTTGTATATATCTAAATTAACTTTAAAATCTCTAAAGATATTAACGTATCGAATTGATGCGATTTTTTACTAACCTTACTCTAACCTCATATTAAGAATATTTCATTTGATTTTGATTTGATTAAATATTAAATTATTATTTTTATATCCAACTTTAACCCAACACATATATGTATAACCTATGTATAAAACTTACCTTTAACTCGTATCTAACTCTCAATTAATTTAATGATTTTAATTTAATATAATATTTATAAAATATCATTTTTAATATAAATTACATTAAAGTTATAAATTAATATTTTATAAATTAACATCTTAAATTAATATATTAAATAATATTTAAATTAATATATATTAATATAAAATTAAATAAATAATATTTATATATATCTTAGGGGAGTCAATACGAAATACTTTAAAATTCACTTTTAACTTGATCTTTTTTTTAAATACTTGTCTCACCTTTGATCTGACCCTTAATTTAAAATAAAAAATGATTCTATAGAATCGAGATGAGTCAAAATTTATCAAGTACAAATTGTTTTACTATTTTAAAATCTCTTTAAATTTAATTAAAAAATAAATTTAACCTTAAAAAATATTAATCAAAATCTTAAACACCCTAATAAATGTAAGTTAAATGTCTATGTTAACCCTAAATATATAACAAAATATTACAATCAACCCGAAAATTGAATTATAAAATCATATTCCACCCTAATCATATAATACTATATCCTAATTGACAGTTAAATCATTTTCTCTAGCTATCTACAAAAGTTAATGCCAATTTAATTAAGTTGGATTTGATATATTTTACAATATCATTATGATAATGTAATTATCGAAGTGAGTTTATTTCCATGATGATATTATTATTCATAATTTGAAATTATTTTATTTAATTAATAATTATTAAATCTTATGAATAAAATATTATTATGTTTGGTATTACTAAAAATTGAATATTATTTTATTTAAAAATACAAAAATAATCATTTATATTATGATAGTTACACAAATTAATGATTTTAATTTTATTTAAAGATAATAATTTGTAAAATATTAGAAATATTTTATTTGTTTTATGATAAAATATAATTAAATTATTAAATTAATAATATATTAATTAATTAATTTTTATAATATAAATTGTGTAAAAAATTTTGAATTACAAAATAAAACTAATCTATCAAATTAATAATAAAAGAAAAGAATTATATTACATATAAAATATTAAAAACAGCATGATGTATGATTTTATAGTATTTATTAAATACAATGACTTAATTATTATTTATAAATCATTATAATTTTTAAAATAATTATCTCATATCAAGATAGATTGAATATATTTAAAAAATTATAGATATTTTCCTTAAAAATCTCATGTTATACTGTCACATGCTTAATTATTGAAACCAAGTCCGTGAACGATTTAAGTAGGGAGGGTCGTTGGGGTGTGATGTGGCAGTAGCCATAGTCAATATCCACGTCAGACGTAACTTATCCAAAATCCGTTCCCCATAAAATAAAATAAGGAACTATACTAAAAGAATTTGATTAGAATTTGAGGTGAAATGATATATCTATTAATCTATTAATTATATTCTGTTCAAATAAAATTTAAATTTGATTTAATTATTATTAAATTAAATTTAAATTTTAGTAATTTAATTTTTTAATAAATAAATTTAAATATTTAAATATTTTATTAATTTTAAATTGAATTAAATTAAATATAATTTTATATAATATCATATCGAATCAATTTAAATATAAAAAATAAAAAAAATTGAGTTGGATAAAATATTATGAGTAAAATAACGAATAAAAACTGTCCCGTCTCAACTCGATATCCTCCTATTATTAGCAAATATTGCCTTATTGTGATTAAAAAAGCTGTTGCAACTTGGAATTTACTTTTTTTTTTTTCTTTTAGTTCTGAATTTTGGCAACTTGCTTGTAATTTCCTATTCAAACAAAATGGGTAATCAAGAAAAAGCAACAAAAGTCTAATATAAGAGTTGAATTGTAGTAGCAATAGTATGTGAAGTGTATATAAATATATATAAAAAAGATTAATTTACATTAATATAAATGTTATATTTTTTTAATTATTAAATAAAATATTAAATTTAAAAATATTATTTGATCCAAATGAATAATCAAATCAATTTGCCATAATATAAACTACCCATAAAAGGGTAAGGCAATGACTCCGTGAATGGAAAAAAGATGCTCTGTCATATTCCTGTAAATTTCTGTTCAATTGATTTTTTTTTTTTTTTGCTTGTTTAAGTGCACATTCGATCTAATTGAATCCCTGAGTACCTAAAACGGCAAAAAAAAAAAAAAGGACCTAATTTCTGCCATCCACATGGGTTATGTTCATCCATCATTATCAGATTTTCTATTTTTATCCTTTTTTTTTTCTTCCTTTTTGTGTTTTTTCACTTTTCCAGGAAAATTTTTTATCGTGCTTAGGAAATCAAGGCCTCAATGCTAGCTTTCTTTGCTGTTCTACAAACAGGGCAAGAATCAAGAAAAGCTGCACAATCCTTGCATGAACAAAGATGCCTGCAAGGAAGGAACAAAACGCACGTACTTCGAGAATTGCAGGATTTGCAAACCATTGTCGTATGAGTCTTCTTTCTTGTTCTTTCTTCATCTTGTTCTTGTCCATGATTGAAAGCAACAAGCCCTGCAATGCCTCTGTTTTCCTCTGTTTCCATTCCTTCTCTGTCCACTTCACAGCATGATTCTGCATCATCTACTCCATTGTTGAAACAACAATAAGCTTGTTCTCGTAGTTGTTCGAGCGTGTTGTTTAAAGACACAACCATTGCTTCGTTTTCCAGTGCCACTCTTTGCCATACCTGGTTCTCCGTCTCAAGCTTCTTCAACAGATTTTGTAGCTCCATTGTTTTGTTTGTTGCTTTTAGTATCTCTTCATCCTTTTGCCTAAGTAAAAGAGATGCCTTCGGTTCTATTTTCTTTACCAAGACTGTAACTTGTTGCTTTCTTTGTTCTTGCAGTAACAATCTCAATCTCTCATTCTGAATTAAAAAAAAATCAGGAAGCCAATTTAAAAAAAAAAAACCCAAAGAAACGATCTTCAAAGAGAAATCCCAATAAATATGGCTTTTTTGTTCTAACCTGTGATCTGATAAACTGATCAATCTCTTGTCTTTGATTCTCAAATTGAGAAACCATGCTTTGGGAATACATCATTGATTCACGATTGTTGCTGTTGTTGTTGCTGGTGGTGCAGGTGGAATTGAAGTTCTTCAAAGAGAAGGGAACAAGACTGTTGTCAAAATAAAGACTTTGATTCTTTGTCTGCTGATTTTGAAGCTGCTGCAACTGTTGCAGTTGTTGTAGCTGCGGTTTCTGTTGAAGACTGAAACAGAATTGATTAAACCCGCCACCAACACCACAACCATTGTCAATCCAATCCTGGGAACCGCACACTGGAAACCCAATATTATCTGAATACAACTGCGCCTGTATGGCCATTCTCTCCTTCTCTTCAACCAACAAACAACTCTCTCAAAGGAACCAAAAGAAACAACCAAACCCCTAAAACTACCAAACCAAATCAAAGCAAATCAAACCCTTTTTCCTCTTACCAAATATCAGATAAAAAAACTCAAATGGGTTCTTCAGTTTTTCTCATTTGGATCAAAGAAACTCTCTATCTCCCCTTTCTTGCTTGATATTCCAGGTACATATAGAAAACCAACACCAGGCGGGGTGGGGATGTATATCTTTATAAGAGGGAGAGGATGAGGTCAGACATGTGAATATATATATATATATATATATAAGTAACAGAAAAAACTTGAAAGGTAAAGAGAGAGAGAGAAAGAGACTGCCTAAGGATGCTATTTTCTCATTTTCTGCCATAATTTTCTCTAATAATATATTAGTTTAAAAAGGCATTAAAGGGTTGGAGGGATGCAAGTGTGTGGGACGCGGTATGCAACGACGTCCACATGCAGATTTTGTGACTAAACTATCGGGTCAGAGATTTCACAGGCGTTTGTTTGTTTGTTTGTTTTCCTTTGAATGAACAAAAAAGAAAATTCAATTCCAAAGCGGATTCTTTTTCACCCACTTATTGGGTGGTAAAGACTTTAGAGAAAGAGAAAGGGACTCTCTTAATTGGTCAGTTTTAATTAGGTATAAATTGTGCTTGATAATATACATGAATTTTTACTTTTTAAGGATCAAATCATTGAATACACAAGATCTCTAGAAACAGTTAAAGGCAATTTTTTAGGGCTTACAGCAAAGGATATCTTCAAATATTGAGTTTATTTTTTGTGTTATTATATGTAGATTTAATAATTTTAAATACGATAAAATAATATGATATAAAAATGATATGAATAAAGAACACAAAGATGATTCGACTTAAAATTTTAATAAAAATTATAAATAAATTTAATAAAATAAAAAAATATTTTATATTTTTATATCGATACGAATTATAATATATTATCTTCATATAAAATACGATATGAATATACGAATTATTAATATTTTATATTATATAACTATACGAATTGTTAGATTTACTTATATGTAAAACTTTTGCACTATTATAAAGAATAGAATTCTACGAATGTTTCCTCTTTTGGATTCGAAGTTTGCAAAAGTATATTAACTTCATGTGTTAATTGAAGGCAAATATGTAGGGGTCAATTACTTGGTTCATGAATCCATGATTGCTGTTATTTTAATATACATGCATGTTTATAAATGTAGGTTTAGTTATGGAACTCATTTACCCTAAAAATATTAACTTCCCTTCTCCAAAAAATATCGAAATTTTTTTTAATAGGATCCATTAAGATGCTTATAGATATTGGTTAATAATAATTAAAATATTAATTAAATAAAATATAATTTTTTACAATATATTTTTAATATCACTTTAATAGATACTTGTTAACAATTTTCTTTTTAATAATTATAAAAAGAAAAAAAAACAACTTCCCCTCCCAACATGGATGTCTTATCTGACAAATTTTTAAGGTTTTAATTGATATATATGCAGCCCATGCATGTGATAAAGGTTTCTTATGTTGTTCTTGTCACCAACGTAAAGATAATGATGTCTATGTGTCTCTCATAATTGAGTGCGTTTTGTAATAATCCAAAATTTCCTTCTTCAATTATTTGCTGTTTTAACATCAATAGAGATAAAAAGAACTCCTCAATTCAATTATCAATGTTTCAAATCTCAACATTCATAATTTTTATTTAATTATTATAAAATTTGACAGTTCATGATCTAATTAATTCTCAATTAAATGTTCCTTGCTTTTATGGCAAGAATCCATTATTATTGTTAGAATTTATGCTGAAATTAAGGAAGAATTAAATTAGATTTGAGAGAATCCAAAGAATTAAACAAGTTTGGAGAGAATCCAATTAAAAGAATTTGGGTTTGGGTTGATTTCTGATTTTTCGCCCGTTGAGTTGTTCACTTAACTTTTTAATCCATATATCAACCGATGATAGCTATAAGTTCAAATTACAATGCAATTATCTTATCATTCTAATTTGAATTCCCTTTGAACAAAAAGTTTTGATCATCAATATCGGCAGTGAGATTAGGTAGGGCTTGTACTCATCAATTTATTGATAAAGATAAAATGGTCCAGCATTTGAATCAATTGTTGATACAGTTGGATTCAAATTCGGCTTTTTCAAATGAAAAAAAAAATTTCTGTATATAATAGCTTATAAGAGTAGGATTATTTCATTTGAAATAGATAATCTATTGTTCCGGACTAGGCAATTAGAATCCATAACTCTTATCCAGGAAGATGATCCACATGCAAGAATTTGCCAATAGAAAACCAAAAGTTCAACAATTTCCCTGTCTTTGAAGGGCCCCTACTGATTAAAAAGGATCCTAAATCACGGAAAATTTGCCCAATGTCGGCAAGATTCTCAAGGGGGTCCAACAATGTAAAGAGATAAAATAAATAAAATAAAGTCCATGGAAAAATCCTGGATAGAGTAACACAGATTCCTAGGCCCTTTTTTTCTCGAACTGTACTGTTGCATTTACATATCAAACAGTAGGGAAACAAGGTGTCGGATCTTTATTTTGAAAGCGTTGTTTCCGTTGGCTTTCGAGAAGGAAGCAGAGTGGAAACATATATGGTGAGAGCAATGTCACGTATGGAGTGGGGGTGGCACCCATGTGCTACCGTGACCCCATGAAGTTCAATTCCCCCCTTCATCATCGCTTGTCTGGCTGGTTCTTCTGTATCCTTTGGTCATTCTGACAATGTGAAATTGTGAACAACACCAAGATCATCAACCCCAAGTACCTAGCTATCTCACTGCAATTCATTTCCCGGCTATTATTATAAAAAAATTGGGATTTTTTTTTTCTTTTTTTGGCGTGTTTGCAAAAATCAAAAGCCCATTCTCGTATTTGGTGCGAAGTGTTGCTGCAGCTTCCCCAACAACTTCTCTTTGTTTTCTTTTGCTTTCGGCAAAGTGATTCTAATATAGACACGATCTTGGGGGTTCTTCACTCCTCACTTCCCATAATGGAGTCTGTCCCCACTTCAAAAGTTGTCATTGAGTGATGCATCTTAGGCCAAAACTAAAAGCATAGAAAGGGCCACCAGGCTTTTCTAGTTTCACGATGTTGTTTTCAAATTGATAATGATTTAACCTTTCTTTGTGTACGAAACAAGGTCATTGCTTGATCAGTGGTTAATATAATAACAATAGACAACCAACGTAATGGAAATTGACCAAAAAAGTGGAGGTGAAACTTTGAATTTGATGATGGACATATTTCAAGCATGTGTTTGTTAAGCATTTTCAGGCTACCTAAAACATCTTTTCGGGGTTTAGTGAAATAACTTGGAAAGAGAGGAAGAGAATCCTGACTATTGTTGTTATAATCAGTCTAAACTCTCAATGCCACCAAAGTTTGATTGAAATTACACTAGCTTTCATTTCTTGGAGCCAAAAATTGGTCAATACGGCAGGTGGGTTGTTTTTCTAGGTGCCTAAGTAAGCATGCATTGACACAAGCCCCTTAATTAAGGGGTCCAGACCCAGTCATCATTAGCTAAAATATGAAACTGGTGGATGATTAGAAATCTGTATTAAATTTCCTTGTTTGTTTCAATTTCTTCAAAACCATTGAAATGCTGACCAGTCTCAAATTTGAACGAATTATATGTATTCTGAAATTACCAACCGAAGATCTTGACAATTCAAGATCATATATATATATATATATTCATATTCATAGCATCAAGGAAAATGCCATTTTTTTTTTTCATGGGGTAAAGCTTTTTGTAAAGTTGAGTTGGTTTTAATTAATGGGTGGACTCTGAAAGAGACGAGACGGTGACGTGAGGAGTTGTTGTTAGACCACCGAGGCTGCACCTAGCTGAGGGCCAGGGTCAGGAAAGATCCCATCCTATCTTGTGAATGAGATAGACTCTCTTTGCCCACAATTTGAGACTTGAATGGCTAGACCATTCAGGCATTCACAACAAAAGGTCTTTAAAAACCACGCAATGCCTCTCTTTCATGACATAAATTTGGCCAAAGAAAAAAGGGTTTTTAAGATAATCATCAATGCATGAACTGAAATGATTGTAACATTTTAACACTACAGCAGTGGAAATCTCCACTGAATTTACAAATCCCAATCTATGGTTGATATTAAGCAGTGGAGAGGATTACAATAGCTTCCCTATATATATGCATTTTGACTATAAATATACATAGAGTGTTAAATGTGATATATATAATCTTCATTGCATAGAAACTGAGTTGATATATAAATAAATTTATTTTACGAACTAGGCTAACCCTAGTGAGTATTGATTATTAACTTTTGAGTCTCGAGAGCGACATATATAGGGGGATAAGCAAATTGACCAGGAGTTTAAAGCATTAATGGTGATATCTTATATGATCTGGTGTTCACAGCAATCTGCTGTATTTGTTGCTTTCTTTGTCTCTTTTTGTGCAGCAGCCATGTATGCAAGCTTGAAGATTGTAACCACTAACCATATAATATAAATACAAAAACAAGCCACTGTTACAGGGAGAAGCATATGGAATTGGTGGAATGAAAACATATAAAGATATACATTCAATCACCATATCATAGGAAGCATGATGATATTGTATATATAATAATTGCAAAGACCGGATCCACTATCTATGCAGTCTGCAACTAGGGACGGTTCGCATAAAAAAAATCATTATTTGAAGGTTATAGTTAAATATTCACTCCCCTAGCTCCTATATTTAATCTTATTCAAATCAAAATTATCAAAAAGTCATTTGAGAAGCATGTAAATAACCATATATTAAGTTTCAAGAGCAGTTGAAGGCTTGAAGATGCAAAATTGATGGAAATTTTGATTATTTGAAGGTTAAGGTTAAATATTCACTCCCCTACCTACTATTTTTAATCTTATTCAAATCAAAATTATCAAAAAGTCATTTGAGATGCATGTAAATAACCATATATATAAGTTTCAAGAGTAGTTGAAGGCTTGAAGATGCAAAATTGATGGATATTTAGGGTGAGAAAAAGAGGGTGAGTGATTTTTTTATTTTAAAAAGTTGAATTCATAACTAAAGATTCTCTTATTTATGCATGGGCTATGACAATGAGAGGAGTACAATTATATATTCCTTGTAAACTTAACCATCCATGGCAGCTAAACTTGCGCCTTGCATTACGAATCTTGGTTGCATAAACATGCAAATCTAATTTCACAAGTAAAAACCAGAGAAAATGAAAGCAATAACTTGTTCAAAACGAAAAGGAAAGGAAATATGGGACAGGAAAAATCTTTCAAAACATGACATCTGAGGCTCTAATTTACTAACATACGTTTTAGACTTCTCCATTCCGCTCCATGCTCAGTTTTCAACTCCAAATTGAAAATTGCAGCAGTTTCAGACGTGTAGTATATATCTGCGAGGCAATAGAGAATATATCCAGCCTGAAATTAATTAAGCTTGATAAAAGAAGCCACTGGCTTTATAATTTGGAGATTAATACACCGTTTAATAAGAAAGACTGCACCATAACCCTTTAATAAGGTTTTGTGTGTGTGTGTGTGTTTTTTTTTTTTTTTTTTATCATTCTTGTCTCATTTTATCCTGTTGGATTTAAAATTATCTTATCAAATTGAAATTGCAGATGGCTAATCCGAAGTAGTGAACTGATCAGCTTTATCCTTTTTTCTGTTTTTTAGTTTTTTGTGTCATGTTGCTCATCTCATGGGGGCAATAAATAATATATATATATATATCTTGAAATGTTCATCATCAGAAAAGAAAAGAAAGAAAAAAAGAAAGAGTGGGTTAACGTGCTCATGCAATATGTCAGGTGATTTCACATTTCTACATTGGAGACCAGTAACACACGCAAGTTGTCATTATCTCAGAGAAGAGTCAGAGTCGATCTTCATACATAAATGTTCACATTTTTTTTAATTCGTGAAAATTTTTTTATAAGTTAAAATTAAGAGATTCAACAGCTAAAATGAATAATAATTTATAAGCTGACGTGAACCATAATATTTGATATTGAGCTAGACTATTAGAGATATGTCAATGAAAATGATGGACCCTCATTAGAGTAAAAATAAATATTATAATTTTAGAGAAAATCAATGAATATCATATCAATTATATATTATAGTTAATTTTTAGATATAATTAGTCATATTATTTTTAATTTATAAAATATTTTTTATAAAATAAAATCATAAAATTTAATTGATCAAAATAAAAAATATCTCATAAATTAATATAAACAGTAACACTAAGTCATATTTAATATAGAGTGGAGGAGTCTCATGCCTATCTTTTAATTCTGGTCCTTTCTCAATGCTATTCACAAAAGGCAAACAAAGAGAAAAAAAAAAGAAGAAAAGTTGCCATTGATCGTGCAACTTTGACTGCATAATTTTGAATCGAAGTGGTACACACACACTCTCTCTCTCTCTTGTCCTTATTCACTTTATAAACATTGAACTATACCCTTATCCTTTTTGTTTGAATCTCTTGGTTTGGTTTGCAACGTTTCTTTAATGCTAGCAAAATCAACAAGATCTGCTTTTTCCAAATTTGACTTATTCTAGCTTCCAGGAAACTCACTTCCCACAATAACTAGCCACAAACGCAACATTGACCTTTTTTTTTTTTTTTTTTCAGTCATGAGAAATAGAGGGAGTGTCTGGCCTGTTTCTCCTTTTGAAATTTGAAAATCAATCAGGAAATCACCTACTTACAATAAAGTCATTTTTGTAGATAAAATAATTTGTGTTATGATATTATTTATATCATATTAATATATCGTATTTTAAATTATCATATTTACATGTATGCAAATTCATATTTACTCTATTTGATTTGTTTTTAACTTTAAAAGATTGTATTATAGATCAGGCAAGTTTACATTCACAAAAAGCACAAACGAAACTCACCCTTTTATACCTTAAATTAAAAGTAAGATCTTATATTTCCATGGAAAACATGCTCAAGTTGGATTGCGTTTGTTATATTTTAGATAGGGACCAATATAAAATTGAATCATTGTGGCTTAATTATATCTTGGTATGACTTTACCAGGGGACGTTATGCATTGTCTGATGAAATCCCATTGTAAAGTACCATTGATGCATGCAAAGTGCTTCCTAATTAAGTTGTTTACATGATCTTTTTGTTGTTGTGGTGTTAAAAATAGTCTTACATGGTGAATCAATAGTCAAAAGTTTGAAACGAATTCCAATCTTTTGACTTGGAAACGATGGGCTTTGATCTATATATCTTTCTAGAAAAGAATAAAAGTGGGCTTGAACTTGAGACATTTCTGCAAAAAATGAGGCCTGCAAATCCTACTCCAACATCGGTTCTTGACATTGATTTACAATTCTTTCATTGGGAACCAATATGTTCCACTGCCCAATTCAGGGAACTCATTGAAAATATTATAAGGCCCACGACTATCTTCTATGGGAATGGGAAGTGGGATTTAGCAGTCAGTAAGGTAAAAAAAATGGCTGTAATGTTTTCTTTACGCAGGGAAAAAAACACAAAAGAAAACCCATGGGGTCCATTTTATCAAAAATTCAAAAGGGCCCATCCACCACTCAGCTTACTGCCGTGCAGCACCCAACACAAAAGCCGAGGTCCCTATTCATTAATACTACTGCCAAAAGCCATGGCCATGGCAATGGATTATGGATGGCAGGCGAGATGGTGAGGTCCACACTCCACAATGAGTGGGTGGGACCACAAACCAAGCCAAAGCGCGTGGATTCATACTCAGATCTCGCGCCAGACAATCAAAGAAGTGCACCCCCCACATTATCGTCCCGACTCAGTGTTTGGTAGTCCCCTCGTTAAAATCAAAATCATAACTCCCTACAATCACCATGTGGTCGTTTGGACACGTGGCGCAAAACTAGCCTAACACAAGAATATAGATTTCTACGAGGACAGAACACACCAACTTAAAACTATGTGAGGAGATTCCCAACTGTATAATAATCATACTGTCATAATCACTCCTGGGACGGGAAAGGACACCCTTTTGAAAGGATATTTTGGTTTGCAGCATTCTTATCTTGTGTATACTGAGAGATTCTTCTACTGTTACTTTTGCAGCGTCTTCTCCCTATCAAAAGCAGGTACTTTTGAAAACAATAGGCAAAGAGAAACAAAAAAAATGGGTGCTCTGGATCATGTTTCTGACCTGTTCGACTGTTCTCGAGGCAGTTCCAAGCTCAAGAAACGTAAGCAGTTGCAGGTACAACTCTTAAAACAATCAATCCTTTCTAATATCAGCGTTTTGGGTCAAGCTGTAGAACAAAAACTGTAATCTTGGTAAAAGCTATATTTCATTGATTGTAGATCAAAGAATCTGCTCCATTTAAATATATCAAATAGCTAAGGAAGCTTTTTTTAGTTTGGGTTTTCTTTTTTGGTTCATAAATGATCATATTTAACTGGTTTATGGTTCAGATCTGCGAATCAGAATGTTAAATCTGTCGTGTGGTATGGGTTTTTCCTTTGTTGATCTAGTAAATCAAATCTGAGAAATCTAGAAGTACTACCACTTACTACTAGCATTTAACCTTGGCGGTTTCAAAAATGGTGGAAAGAGGAAAATCCAGGGAGTCAACACATCAAATCATTAAGTTTCTTGGTTTATTTTTATGGCAATTGGCTCTATATCTATTCTTGGAGAAGTCAGATACCGCTTTCCGGTTTGTATTACATTATTGTTTCTGTTTCCCAGCAATCAGTCAGTATAATTTTAGAAAATCACTGTAAACTTATAAAAAGTTGCCTACTGTTCTTCAATTGGATGGTTATTTTGGTACATTTACTTTAAAACATCAGACATACGGACAAAACACCGTAGGATGATCTTTGCCTTCAGTGGTTAGCCGTTTTTGTCAGTGTTCTAAAACAGTTAATAATCATCAACCAACGGTAACCTTTTTTCATCAGACGGTGGAGATCAAGGTGAAAATGGACTGCGAAGGATGCGAACGCAAAGTTAAAAAATCAGTGGAAGGGATGAAGGGTGTGACGCAAGTGGACGTGGAACGCAAGGCCAACAAACTAACAGTCGTTGGTTATGTTGACCCAGCGAAGGTGGTTGCACGCGTGGCACATCGGACGGGCAAGAAGGTGGAACTATGGCCCTACGTGCCTTATGACGTGGTGGCCCACCCTTATGCTCCTGGGGTCTACGACAAGAAGGCCCCAGCTGGGTACGTTCGCAACGCTGAGGACAACCCGCAGGTCTCGCAACTCGCTCGAGCTAGCTCTACTGAAGTTAGATACACCACAGCTTTTAGCGACGAAAACCCTGCTGCTTGTAGTATTATGTGATTGATTCAGTACAATATCAAATATTTTGTGGTAGTTTGTGAAATAATTTGTGTTGAAAATTTGTTGATTTCGTTATAAATTGTACTGTTGGATCTATTCTGTTTGTGTGTTTTGGATATTTGGCCAGTTGTATCAAAATGTTTAGATTTTGTTTCAATTTAATCTATTTTTTAGAGGTCAAATGCTTTCAAGGGTGTATTTCTTTTCATCTTTATGTGGTGGTGCCGAGGGTGAAAATTTTGAAATCACAGAGTTAGTGATGATCCAACAGGGAAGCCACTGATGATGGTTCACGAGTCATTTTCACATTTACTTGGATGTGAAGTGGGAACATTCAGGTCACAATAAATTTAAGCTGCATAAATGGTATGGATCATAATGCCTACAATGGTCCACACTCCACAGCTTTGACCTGCAAAATAAAGTCTGAGAGTGAGGGGCTTTCAAAACAAGCTTTTAGTTCAGTAAGATTGTACGCGCAAAACACAACATTTGCTTCAACTTTCTAGTTTGTAACAAGACATACATAATTGCATGGTTTGGAAACATAAGAAAAACACTGGTTTTGGGATGTCGACTGGCAGATTGGTCTTGGATTTACATTTTCTTCCTTTCCATGCAACCCCAATTGGATACAATTCAAGAAGGTAGATGGTGGTTGGGGGGGCTAACCCCTATTGACTCGAAGAACAAGACAAAAGCAGATATAACTCTCGGTTCGTTGCTGATTCTATCTTTTTCAAATACGTGAACCACATATTAAAGCCATTTTAATAGCAAAGACGAGGGGCGAAGAGCCTTTTAAAGGTTATTTTTATGAGATCATAGAAGGAAACAACCTAGAATGGTTTTAAGACGTTTCCATTGATCGATGGAGAATTGCTGAACCAATGACAAAAATCTTTTGCCTGAAAGTTGTTTCCTTCAAAAATAACGTAGTTTGCTTCGTCTTCCAGGACGAGCCTCTGATACCGCAAACGTCCTTTCAATTTTTTGGCACATACAAGTTTCTCAAGAGCATGGAAATGTTGCGGAAGGATGCAATCATAAAGTTTCCCGCTACCCTACTTCCTTAATATCGCCCCTTCCCATATCTAGCTCCTATGATTTAAATGTATTTTCATAAAAATCCATAAAATAAAAAAAAAAAACCAAAAATTAAGCAGAGAAGGGCTCTTTTTCTCAACAATATTGAACTTGCCAACCTAAAAACTTCAATTTTTTTTTTTTTTTTTTAATTTGAAAGCCACATTTCTTTTTCCATTTTGTTTCAATTATAGACTTTAGCAAGAGGCAATAAACCTATTCAAAAACCAGACTAATCGTTAAAATCTAAAAGTTAATCTAAATTTTAAAAAAATTTAGACAAAAATTTAAAAGATTTAAGCGTAGCTTTTAAACCGGGTTAAATTTTAGATTGGATTTTGAATTAAAAAAATTAAAATTCAAACTCCACTCAATTTGAATAAACTTTATATAATTAAAATATTATAATTATATAAATATATATATGAATTTTTATTTTTTTACTTTTTTTAAAAAAATATTTTAAAATTTTTTTATTATAAATTAAATTTAATAAATAAGCTTAAAATTTATTGAAAATATTTTTTCAATTTGAGTCAAATTTGAAATAATTTTGAGATTTAAAATATCAAATTAAACTAAACCTAAACAAGTATAAAACTATTAATACTAAATATGAATTCGACCTGGTTCATAACACCACTAGAGCGCAGCTACTTTTAAGGGCAATTATCAGTTACAACTATGAGTTTTCATCAGACATTTGTTGATCAAAACCTCAGTTAAAAAACGGCACTTCCCCCTGGAGTTTACATCTCCAGCTTTCCTAAACAGATTGCTTATGGCAAAAGCAAAGTTCCTGTGTGCTTTGTCGATACCACGCAAAACTGGAATAGGAATGGCTGAAAGCTATGCAAGCTAATTTGTAGCTTCCCATGCTACGACGGCAGGCAGTAACACTTGTAACTCACCTGCTATGGGCTCACAGTATGGAAACATCAAAGATATTCCACCTTCCCTAATTCTGTAATTCAGCAATATAACAATTCATAAAGCTTAGAAAGATATAACTAGAACTCAACCCGGGCAAACTTCAACAAAGGCAAAAGATTAAAAGATAACACACTACTCCACACAAGCACTTACAAATTTTTAAGAAAATCAGCAAACCATAGCATCATTGATAGTAAGGCAATTTATTTAGTTGAATTTAGCTTGGCAAGAAAGCAGACCGTCAGTCGCTGCTTATAAATGCTACAGGCTACAATCCAGAAGTTTCAGCTTTACAAGTTTGTTCGGCCTTAAACCATAGACTAAGAACACCATCAACTCACCTTGAATAACCCATAAGTAGGGTTAACAAAATTTTTAAAAGAAAGAACAGGAAATGAAAAGGGTAAATAAAAAAAAAAGGTAATGCAACCTGAGGGAAGAAGATAGGTGATGCATCCTAAGAAAACCGCTTGTTGGAAGACAAATATGTACCCCACGGAACATGGATAATGCTTGTCTCAACAGTTCTTCAACCTGCTGTAGATGGACGAACATTTCCCAAAAAAATAAATATCAGAATCAGAGCCACAACATACTCAAAAGCAGAGTGTTACACATTGTATGCAGCTATATTCAGTTTGGAAACGGTCAATAGAGCTCATAATATTCAGAATTGCAAGAACAAGTTCCAATATCTGTGAAAAGGCCTCTCTCTAACTATGGCTCATACACCATAAGGACTTGGACATGTCCTTTTTCTCTATGTCTTTAAACATTGCTCAGTAATACAAGTGAACCCATTTAAAACAGAGAAATCATCAACATTTTTTGTTTTTAACAATTTATGTGGTTATGAAACAAGACCCACATATTCAAATGATGTTCTAACATTCATGTTGGTTCTTGTTTCTCATGTAAATCTTTTGTCATTCCTCTACTACTCATTCTAAACTCTAATAGTTAATGGGGTTATCAACCATAAGTACTGGATGGTCGATATGTTCAGAACAATAATGAACTCTATAGTTGCAGCAAGGAAAAATGTAATAACTTCATCATATACACACAAGAGAAAAACTACTTACCACAGCCCTAACAAGGTACAAGAAACACAAACTGAGCACAATACTTTTTCTAGAAGAATAAAATTTTTGATTGGAAGTTCCAAGCCAGCAACTAGTGAAGCAAATAACTACTGCCAACATTTACAGATGGTGATAACATAAACTTTGGATAAATCATATCAGAAATTAGCTTTCCAATATCCATCATAAATTATATGAAGAGATTAAGAGCAAGAACTCCTAAATTTTACCTTTCCTCCTTTTTGTCCCAGAAGAATTGCCATTGGCCCCTGCAGTTCCAACCCCACCTGTAGAGAGCTCCTTTGCTCCAGAGTTCTGATTTGCCAGACACTGAATATTGTCGAACTCACACCCATTAAATCCTTGTCCATTAAGTGCTGCAGCTTCTCCTGTTTTACCTTCCACCCCAGGGTGAAGGCAATACATCTGATCATTGCATTGCACGTTGCAGGGATTCATCACATAAGCACCAGGAAAATTCATCATGTTAACATTACCTGTTGATTTCTGATAAGGAAATGATCCAATCTCCCCTTCAATTCTTCCTCGAATATCCACAAGCAAACACTTAAGCCTTGCAATCTCAGCCTCCAGTGCAGCCTGACCCTGCAATCTCTTCAACAGCTGCTGGTTCACTGTCCTCAAGCTCAGAACCTCATCCTCCAACGAGGCTGCTCGTGCCTTAACCTTTTCCCTATACTTCCTAACAGCTTCCCGATTACCGGTAGGACGTTTCTTCGATATCTTCTCCCTAGACCCAGCGGTGTCATCAGTAGCAGCCTTATCTTCGGTTGGGGCAGGCACAATTTTGGTATGAACATGGAGACAGGTGTGTGTATGAGAGTTATCAGGGCCAGGTGGGTTGCAAGTGTGTGTATGGGTACATGCATGAGAATCATTGAGTAATTCATTTAAAAAGCTGTCCATTGAGCAACTGCTTGGAATATCACTCGTGTTATTACCGCAAAACATTTCTTGGTTCGAAAAATCAAGCTCCCCGTCGTCCATCACAAGTAGAAATCCCCACGAGAATCAAAAGGAAACACTTATATCTAGTGAAGGAGAGATAAATTTAAGATTTTGAAACTGACCCAGATTATAAATCGTGCCCAATTAACAAGTAGCAACACCAAGAAGAAAATTAAGAATATGTGAAAATTCTAATAGTTCCTACATATATTATACCTACAAAAAAAATACCTAATTAGACCAATTCGATTACAACCCAGAACTTTTTGCAAAGCGATCATTACAAGATATTAAAAAAACAAAGATTTTCAACTGAAAACGAATCACACAGTTATCATCAGCAAAAAGAAGAAGAAAAAAACTTACTCAGGAAAAAAAACAGCAAGTTGATCAACGGGGATGACCCAGAAAATTTTATACAATTAAGGTTCAACATGAAACTAAAAGCACAATGAATCGAAGGAATAGCATCGTTATCATAGATTCGACATAATGGAACCCTAGAAAATAAGCCGCGGCTTTTTAAAAAAAAAAAAGCGAAAAGACTAATGACTAATGAGAAGAAAAGTAAGAATTTAGTGATAAGAAAGTGAAATCTTTTACAAGGAAGAAAAATTCTTTACCTTTAATATTGCTGAAAAGGTCAATGAAAATAGTAAATCTATGGCATTTTGAAGATTCCCAAAATGAACGAACCAGGGACAAAGACAAAATAGAGTAGACCCGCTTTGCCTTTAGTTGCAGAGATTCCAGTGGCTTCTGCTTTCATGGAGTTTTCATTGATTTCAATTTATAGGTACTTAGGGAACTTCAGTGTAAATTAAAAAATTTACATGCGGTTCTTTGAGAGGCTACGGTGTATTGTTATGAATTCAAAGGTGTGCCCTGATGTGAACAATGAGCCACGTGGATGACGAGAGCCTTGTAAGTGTTCGTAGCTCGGATTGGATTCGGATCTATACTGACTATATATAGTTTATATTTTTATTCAAATTCAATTAAGCTTTAAATTTTAAGTTTTAAAATTTTTTTATTAAATTTAATTTATATAACAAAAATTTTTTAAAAATAAATAAATTAATTTTAATAAAATTATATTTAATTTATATATAAAATTATTTATATATATATGAATTAATATTAAATCTGATCAAATTCAAATTTTAAATATTTTATTTAAGATTTAAGTTAAAATTTAAATTAATTTAAATATTATATCAAAATTTTTTAATAATTTTTAATTTTTAATTTAAAAATTTTTAAAATTTAAACAGAATTTTGAGTTCAAATCGGTTCAACCCTTAATCAGATAAAGCGATAGATAGATCGTGATGATACTGGTGAAGACGATGGGTCTGACATGGATGAGCTCATCCCATTGGAGGTTCATGGATTTTTAAGAAAGGGTGAACTAGATAGAAAACACGTCAAATTCAAAGGAATTTTGGGTCATTTTCATTTAGTAGAAAAATCCGAACCAAGTTGTGGAAAATTGTGGATTTTGGGTTAACATAGAATGGAGGAAGATAGATTGGGCCCTAACTACGAAGAAATTTAAGTCATTGGGCCCCATTACAAATATTACGAATCTGGATTTCATTAATGGTTTTGGTATTTATTATTTATTTTTAAACATCGAATATTTTAATTTTATAAATAAATTAAAATGTTGACACATATTTTATTTTTTAATATATCTTAAAAAATATGTATTATCCTTTTAATGAATTTATAAAATTTAAAAATTTCACTAACAATAAATAAAATAATTTTTCTTATTTTTTATGAGTTTTTACTAACGAGTGTTGTTTAACATTTACACTATTATAACTTTTTTTAGCAAAATTTATTTTTATTTATTTTTTTCAAAGCAATTGACAGAGAATTATACTAGTATAAACTTTCAAGTTTTAAATTAATGACTTTGAAAACAATAGCTTTCTTAGTCGATGTGGCATGAAAGCCAACTTGGGCCACTAGGGCTAACTAAGCATGTTCGTTGGGAAGCAGCAGGGACCAGCATGGTTAACCATGCTTATGCTTGTTCCTATCATTCCACATGAACGATTAATTCATATGGTGAGATTGGAACATAAAATTATAAAATATTAAATTTATTTTTTTCAATAAATCGAGACTTCATTGATTGTATAATAATCTTTTTCCCATATGATATCATGCAAATTGAACTCTTTCTTTTGGTCCAAGAGCATGATTCCCTACATGTGTAGCATGAGTTCTTTATGTTTCTAAACTGTGTTTTTCCAACCATGAGGAAAAGATAAATCAGAACCTTACGTACAGTTCATGTTGTTCATGCTATATCTTTTTGAATCACATGGTATCATCTTCTTGCAAACTTGTTGTGTGTGAAATAAATATTTGGCATTTAATTTTAACATGACGGAATCCATTATAGGTGAAGTGCAGTTCCTATATGCTCATTTTATTCAAAGGACGCTCTTTCACCATTCTCTCCCGTTTCTTTTTGGTACACAATTCAAGTATTAAAATCGAAATCCTCGAGAATTTTCCAAATCCTCATGAATTTTCTGTTAATCTCTCTCAAATTCAAATCTATCTCTTTAGATTTTCATTCTTCGCCTCTTTTGATTAATGTAATAACGAACAAAATCTGAGTATCAATCAAAATCTCTCTAGATAAACTTCAAAAGACACCCAAATAACTAGTAACGGAAAAAAGGAAAAAAATTCTGTTTTCTCTTGGATATTTTCCCGGAAAATTTTGTTTTCTGCATTTAAAAGACTGACCACATTACTGGGTATTTGGGTTTTTATTTCGAGAATGTCGAGGTGCTTACCCTTTCCTCCGCCGGGGTACGTGTGGAATGGAGTTAGTGGGGAGGCTCTTTTGGAACTGATTAAGGTTCGTTGTTGAGCAAACTTTTGTGCTCTCTTCGGATCTTGATCAGTTGTTACTAGTTCTAGATATGCATTGAAGTTTAAGCTTGATGATGGGTTGTTCTTTTAGTTCTCTTTCTCTTAATTTAATGGTTCTGGAACATTTATTTCCCACCCTTTTGAGGAGAAGATCAACATTGTTAAAATCGAATGTCAACAAGGATTTGATATGCTTTAATATCCTTGATGAAATTATTGAATTTACTATCGATTTCCACGGCTTTCTTGCATGATCTGTTACCTCTGCATCAATGGCACTAAGGGATTGTCTTCTAATTGTGGGTCTTCTAAAAAGTTTCTTCATAGCATGAATAATTGGTATGAATCATGCTACTGATCTGTCAAGCCTAACGAGGATATGACTGCTTTAAGACATTAGTCTGGTTGGTGAATAAAGAATCAGTCTTTAGTTAAAAAGTTTTCGGGATATCTGGAAGATAATTGAAATTATTTTAACAAAGGAGGCCGTGCTTGTGATAAAGAAAGGGTTGAAAGTGTTTGAGATTTGAATTTTAAACATGTTGAATAACAATTTAAATTACTTAAATTAAGTTTGAATATCGAAAATGATTGAATTTGTATGTCATAAAATAACATATCTTATCATTTTAAGTTTAAACATATTAATTTTAAATTACACCTGATTTTGTGAAATTTTATTCTAGTGTGTGTTACACCATACAATTATACCATAGAATTAATAATGAAATTGGGTTAAACACACTTCATTGGTAGCTTTATTTTTTTCTTTGCTTAATAATAAGATTTATTATGCTTTTAGTAGATTCATGCCCTATTTTAGCTTGATATTGGTCTCTTCCTCAACTTTCTTTGCATATTTTTTGCAGGTTCAGAGAGAAAGAGTGAAGGCCGAAAGGAAAAAGAAGAAGGAGAAAAGGAGAAGAAAGAAAGAGAAGAAGAAAGAAAGTGAGCAAGGAGGGATTTGGAGGAAAAAACAAGGTCATCATAAAAGGGATAAGCGTTTGAGGAGCAATGAAGGTAAAGAAAGAAGTGAAAATCAAGGTAAAAGTGAAAATGAAACCGAGGAGATGGAGACAAGCAGCCTCACGGAAGAATTTGAGCAGCCTATACCGGAAAGCCTCTACGAATCTTCAGACAACAGTCAAAGCATCCGAAGGAAGAGGAACAGCTTATCCTGCAATGAATGCCATAATCATGGTTAGTGAACATTTTTCTTCTTTATTTTCTAGTTGTTTAGTTATCTTCTGACTTCTGACCATGATATCCTCTCTTCATGTTATCACTGTAGGAAGCCTTGTTCAGATTGATTTCCAGCTGGAAAAGCATAAGACTCCTGAAGCCCTACCCTGCAAACCAGACTGCTCTACCAGGATGATGGATTCTGTAGTTCAGAAGAAGCTTGAATTACATGTTGAAGAGCAATTTTATTCAGCTTCTATTATGCCAGCTACTGATGTCCAAGAATTTGTTCCACCAGCTTTAAAAGATCTCTGTCATTCCTCTCAGAGAGCTAGGCTCAATATGGACGAGAAATCTGAAATGACTCAGACATCATCACAATTCAAAGAGTTAGTTGTGAACTGGATTCCCCCTTCTTTGCAGATTGAGCACTTTGATGTTGGCGATCAAGAGTGGCTCTTTGAGAGGAATCCACCCAGAAGCCACATTTTGAAGACATCTAAATCTAATGTTAGCAAAGATGTCTTGCATCATGGAAACTCTATGTCATGTCACTATGATTTGTTTTTGCTCCACTATTCCACAATGGATCCTACACCTGTCAAAGAGCAAATTTCATCTGCGTCTAGTGTGCCTGATACTGACGCCCAAGAATTAGCTACACAACCTCTAAAAGTTCTCTGCCATTCTTCTTCTCAGGGAGCTGGGATTGATACTGGTGACAAGGTTGAAATAGCTCCGACATCCAGCTGCTCTGAAATTGGCTTGCTGCAGATAGAATCTCAATTCAGAGAGTTAGTGGTGAACTGGCTTCTTCCTTCCTTGCAGTTTGAGCCCTTTGAAATTGGAGACCAAGAGTGGCTCTTCAAGACAAAGCAACCCAGGAGCGACACAACAGACACGTCTACTGCTAGTTATGATGCTTTACATCAAGGAAACTTCACTCGGTACCCACATGCTCAATACTTGCCTCAGGCTAACATGTATGCCTTGCCATATACAATACTATACTAAAACTGTTAGAAGAAAATGACTTGTGTACAAGTGCAAGACATTGATTTTCAGTTTGAGAATACACATATATGTGAAGTAAAATTGTTGGTTTTGGAATGTGTAACATGCTGAAGAATCTGGCCAGAAGAACTCATCTTTCATATACTCCTGGTTTCACTCTTTATCATTACATGTAAAAATGCTCATTTGTGCATATGATTTTTATTTATTATTTGATATTTCCAGTTTCAAATTAGAACATAGTTGCTGTTGGCTCCATGTGTACTATCCCTTCCGTAATTTATGTATCTATTGCACTTCAGTTTAAAGAGGTTCAATCACATCATTATTTTATTACAAGTATCTACTTCTCCAAATCACACCTCAACATTGGGTGCTTATGTTCTTTTCTTTTCTCTCGACAGTAATGGTACACACATATCCCAAAATTGGGTTTGCGGTAAACTTTGTTTTAAAACAGCTTCAGCATGCCAAAAAGAGTAAAAAGAATCTAATTGAAGCTTGATGATCTGCATCATCTTTCTTTCAAATATTCCTCCATAGAAAGATTACTGCTTTGCTCCATGCTACTAAATGATGTCGAATCGTCATCGACATCAAGCATTGCGAGACTTAAATGTAACTCTGCGCTTGAATTTGGATAAACTTCATCATCATTATGGTCTTGGCTTTCTGTGTTCTCATGTTGTGTCTCTGCCCATTTTTCAACAGCTTTTTCCCCTCTTAGGAGCTCCAGAATCTGGCCAAAGGAATGCAAAATGTAAATGAAATTTCAACCGGTTCTTAAACGTTTTAGTATGATACAAAGGCTTTATTACCTCGCTCATCTTTGGACGGAGTCTAGCTGACCTAGTTATGCAGAGGGCTGCTGCTAGAACCATTCTATGCATTTCTGTCTCATTGATATTTCCATTCAAATTAGGATCCAGTAGGCCTTTCACATCCCCACTCTCTATTATTGGCTTTGCCTGAAGTCGATGTGCCTCATTAGTATAATTGATGCACATCACAAGAAGTTGAAACAACTTTTTTTTCAGACAAGATTCTTACCCACATGACCAAGCTCTGCTGGCCCTTGGAGTTTTCAAAGCTTATTGGTCTTTTCCCGGATAGCAGTTCAAGCAGAATAACACCATAAGCATAGACATCAATCTTGTTGCTAAGCTTACCATACATGAAATATTCAGGAGCTAAATACCCAAATGTTCCAACAACATCAGCTTGAGTCAGGAATGATGAATCAGTTGGTCCCCATATGGCTAGCCCAAAGTCAGATAACTGTCACATGTAAAAAACAAAGGCCATGTGATGGATTTGTGACATATTTCACTTTCAAGTAACGATATTTCAATAATTACCTTTGGTTCAAACCCATCCGAAAGAAGAACGTTTGAAGACTTGACATCTCTATGGATAACAGGTCGAGAATACTCATTATGAAGGTAATTTAGGCTTTCAGCAATCCCAACGGCAATTTTATATCTCATTTCCCACGACAAGGCATGTTTTTCTTTGTTCTTCCCTGCAATATATGTTAGCTTGTATCGGTATGGATTAATGAGAACTTTTACGAAGCAAAAAAAAGAAACACTGATCTCATGGAAGCTTTACCATGCAGAATTTCTTCCAAGCTTCCATTAGATGATAAATCATAGACAGATATTAGATCATAATCTTTAATGCAGACACCGATTAGAGGCATGATGTGCTTATGCTTCAGTGAGGAGATTATTTCAATTTCATTGGCAAAATCCTTGCATGCCTCCTTTGATGACTTCAGGATCTTGACAGCAACAGCCTTGCCATCTGGAAGGGTACCTTTATAAACACGGTTGCTCCCTCCTTTTCCAATCAGATTCTCTGCTATGAAACAGAATTTTAGCCAAAGAAAAAAAACAATAAGAAGTAAAAAAAAGAACACATCAGTGGTTGCAAGGCAAAAACCTGAGGAGAACTGAGCAGTTGCAGCTTTTAGAACTTCATAAGTGAACCACTGGCAATCGGATAAATTTGTTTTCGGGAGTATCTCCAAGCATTTTTGCAGCTCATATTGCATAGATGAATTGATCCTATCATTCTCACCTTCACTGCCACTCAGTTCTATTTCCAATGGGTTTTCTTTGATGGTTGAACATTGAGGAGCATGATATGGGGAACGACTTGGTAAGTTCATTACCCATTGGACAACTGACATAGTCCTGGCGAGACTTGCTTGTGGTGTTGCCGAACTAGCCATCATGAGGAGGGGCCAACCAGGCATATAGTCCATATTTTCTCCTGCAAAAAGAGAAATTGACCGCGAGGAGATTTTCTTGCCTTCATGAATAACACTCAATATCCCACTCTTTGAATCTTCACTACTGGTTCTTGATCCATCTTTGGAGTTTCGGATCCCTTCAAAACTGGATATCTCAGACCCTCCATCAGAGTCACCATATTCTGATTGGCATTCTCTACCAGCAAGGTTTCCAATCAGACAAAGACTTGGTCTTGGATCACCTTTAAGACCTGACATAATTAAAAGTAAATCTATGACTTTTGAAGACCACAGTAGAAACTAGAAACCGTTTCTTTCTTATTCCTAGGACAGGAAAAACCAAACCTGATAGTTGATTATTGTTGAACCTTCTGAAAATAATTTTTCCATTGTTGATGGCCAGAACATTGGTAGTTGTTGGCAACCGCCTTGCGCAATATCTAGCAATGGAAGTCCAACCCCTGAAAATGATTTCTGTTTTTAGAGTAATCAGAAAAAGAATCACACCAATTTGAACAACCAAAAAGATTCAATCTTTAACTGCTCCTTACCCAAGAGAACTATGCTTTCTTATACCCACAACTAAAGCTACAGCAGCATAGTTCCTTGCTTCTCTAATCAAAACTTTTCGCCTCGAATTTCCTTTAAAAATCTGGCCTTTAAGATCTACCTGAAACCGAAGTATGAAAAATCTGATTATAATCAATCATGTTTTCATTCTTTGAAGTTAAAATGCCGAGTTGTTGACAATGAACCACCTTCTTTACAGAGCACAGGCCTTCATATGCTTCTAAATAACCGTCTAACAACAACTTCTCTCCCAAACCATCGTCTACATTGAAATTTCATGTTAGAACAAAAAACCTTTTAAAAGAAAACTACTTAATGAGGAAACCTTTCACAGCATGTAAATTGGGTGGTAAGTAATGAAAGGCCTTACCAGAACTCCGGGAAACATGAACTGCAACAACAGAATCTCCAGGTTCTGCAACATTTACAAGAGACCACCTAAGCAAATCCCTGCTTTGACCATCTATTCGAATCCCAACCAACACATTTCTCTTCTCACTAGGCATATTTTCTTCTCTTCTTGCTCAGTTACTACCTCAAATTCAAGCATATAAATATTCTTCTAAATTCTGCAAATCAATCCCTTTTAAGAACCTTACCAGCTTCTGAAATATTCATTTTAATCTCGGCATAGAAAGAACCACCATCACCATGGTCACCCAAAAGCACTAGGCACTTTACAAGTTAACACTTTATGATTATAAGTGGAAACCCCATTAACGTATTTTTATCTGAAAACCCAAACTCTTCAAGAAAACAAAAACTCAGGTAGAAGAGATAGAGATAACCATAAGCTATTGTTTGAATCAAAGAATAAAGATAAACAAAAGAAGACAATTGAATTAGTAACTAAATTTTGTACCAATGCATTCTTTGTATAGAAAAAAATGTTTTAAAAATTTTATTGCCGCCAGATAACATCACCCTTTTACCTGCTGCAACCAATTTCAAGACTCATTATACATATAAAGAATTGGGTGATGATAAAGATATTCAAGCTACTTTTTTTTTTTTTTACATGTGAATTTAATTCTAAAAAAGGGTTATTAGTGACGAAATTCTTCAGATAAAGTGTCGGTAAAACAAGAGAAAAAGGAAAGAAGGAATTCCCGCGAAGAATGGGCAACGAATTCCAGTGTTGAATTAAAGATAGCAGAAATAGGGACAATTTTTTTTTTATTAATTTTGAGTTCGTTAAAAGAACCGGCAAATTTCGCGCGAAACCCATGGTCTCAGGTCGTTTTGGGGACCAAAACCAAGCAATGAAGTGACGCAAGCGAAACTTTTACCGGCTATTGCGGGTTGACAAGCACTTACTGTTGACTCGTGCTTTTCTACTTTCCATTGCCAACGGTAATTTTATTTTATTTTTGTAGAATTCAAAAAATAAACTAGGTTTTTGGCTTATTATTACTTATAAAATTAAAAATAAAAATTTTAATTAAATTAAAATTATAATTAGGAGAATTCAAACGGTATTTTTTTTATAATTAAAAATTTTATTTTAATCAACAAGTGATCGATTTAAATGATTAAAATTCATCTTTTTTAATATCGTATTAAAATTTTATTGGTAATCATTTGTTGGGATCATTTCGAGTGCATTACTTATAATTATTTATTTTAGACTGTCACGTATTATACATCTTATTTTGATATGAGAAATTGAATAACTTATTTATCTTTAGATTTTTTTTATCAAAAAAAAAATTTATTCTAACTATAAGTTCTTTGTATCATGAAATTAAAATAGTGGAAAATCATATCATTATTTTTTATATTTATTGTTCAGTTTTTTTTAAAATGGAATATTTCAGTGTTTCTTAATTATAAACTATACATTTTTTTTTTTCAAATAGCCAGTTTAATTTCAAAAAAAAAAAAAAATTCATGAACAGATTAGTTTAAATTTTGAATTTTTTAAAATGAAATATTAAAAATTTTATAATTACAATTTTTTTCTCTAAATAATTCCTAGGATGCGTTTTTCTCGATTTAACCTTGATTTCCATTTTCTAGACAAAAATTGATGATTACTTCTCGTGCTGGAGGACAAAAAAAAATTATCATACGCAAAGAACATTTCACAATACTTCTTTTTCTCAATCGATACGACATGAAAATCATTCTTTATCTGAAAAATAAAAACAATAACGTTGATGTGATTGTTCTGATTAAATATATAAAAAATTATCAAATACATTATGAAAATTTTAAATTTCATCCAGGAAGGATTGGATATACTTTTTAAAATATATTTTAAAAATTAAAAAGTTAATTAAAAATAAAAAGAAGACATGGACAAATTTTTTTTTTGGCCAAAGGGTTTTAATATTTGAGATAAGTCAATGAGGTAGCTAGTTATTAATTAATTAGGTGATAAATGATAATAGAAAAGTCAAGAACTAAATTAAATTAAAGCATGTTAATTGTAAGTTTTATAATTATCAAAGCCCCAGTTACCATCATTACATAACTTAGATCCTTTTGGACTAAATAATTAACAATAAATTCGTATTCATTAATCACATTTAAATTATTTTAAAATAAATTTGAGGTCGAAAAATAAATATATGATTGAATTTAAATTTTATCTTAATTGATTTATTTAGTTGATATAATATTTGATAAATTTAAAATTTAAAATTTTTTATTTTTATATTACGAAATTCATTTTTTTAATATTAAAATAAATAATTAAATATATAATTTAAGTATGAAATTTAAAAGTGACATGAAAAAAGAATCTTTAACTTGAAATAAAGGCAAATCACATTTTATAAATGAGGAAAACTTTGGATGGTGAGGTGACATGACATGACTTGTTATTTTCCCAATTTAATTTTCATCACTCTTAAGCATGTGGCAAACCTAAGCTAAGTAGCATTTTAATTTTATTTTTTTTGGTATACCTAAGTATGTATGTAAAAGAATTTAATTTCTTGCAATAATGTAAATGGTGTTAGTACTTTTAATTAAATTGAGTAGATAATACTCTATCTGTTTCATTTTTTTATCCATATTTTTTTTGGAAATATTCTAAAATTATTTTTTTAATATTTAAAATTCTTAATTTTTTATATTTTAAAATTATTTTTTATGATTTTTCTACTTTTTGATATTAAAAATTATGAAAATTTAATTTTATAAAAAATTTTAAAATTTAATATTAAATATATTAAAATAAAAATTTTTTCTTAAATTTCATAAAAATTGATGAATATTTTGAGGGAATAGTATTCAATTTATTTAAAGGCAGAGAAAGAGAAAAAAAAAATGATGACTAGACATTGAAAGAGTAGTGCCAACCACTTGATGGAAAAAACAAGAATCACACGTGTATTTTGCGTCAGCAGATCCGCCGACTAATACCCCACAGTATGCCACGTGTACTTCAACATAAGAGTCAATGCTCGGGAAAGCTAAGCATAATTAATAATTTAAAGCACACAGTTAATGATCAAATTTTTAGATTGAAAATTTACATAAAAATCTTGATGAGAAAAATAATATAAAGAAAAACCATCTTCATGAACCTTAATCATATTATAATACTTGTATTTTTCATTTTTTATGCTTAAGTCTAATAAAATAATGTCGTCTGATAAAATTTTTTTTTATTATGTTATCAAATGAATCTTAAAATGATCAAAAATAATTTTATGCTTAAAAAAAAAATAACTTTCGTTGAAACAAAGAGAAATAGTATTGAAGTTTTTGTTGATAAAGTATTAAATTTTTAATTTTAATGATAATATTTAAATTTGATAATTTTGAATAAAAAAATGAATGAAGATTAAATTTTTAATTTTGTTATAATCCATGTGGGCATGGAATATATATATATATATATTTATAGAAAAGGATAAATCATTTTATACCAAAAAAATTTACTTTTTTTTTATAATTATTAGTTTTAATAGATTCAAAAAATAAGATTAAATCGTTTTTTTTTTCATTTTTACTTGTCTTGATTCTTTCCCTATGAAATCGTATATGAATGTTATGTTAATTAATTTGAATACTTATTGGTAGTTTCTACATTCCTATCAAAAATAATATAAATTGTATATTCTTTTTTATAATTGAATTTATTTGAATTTAAATTTTAATCACTGAAATTAAGAATTTAATATTCTACCAACAGATCATATGACCGTCAACACATAAATTATAAATTCTAATCGACAAGTGGTAAAATAGAAAATAAGATTTTCAACAAACCATTCTATGTATAATTATATAGCATCCATGATTTGAGTTTTTGGCTTGTGTTATATAAAATTTGATGGACCAACTACTAGGATACGTTGGGTACTTAATTAGGCATAGTATCCTGAATTAGGAGGAAATGACTCTCATTCCTGAGACTGATAAAGACTGGAAATTTTGGATTTCCTTCTCATTTCTGAGACTGATAAAGACAGGAAATTTGAGTGGTCGTTTGCATTCAAATTGACTAAGAAACAATCATGATGTAAACTGGAAAAAAGAGCATATATATGCTTTTCACTAGGTTTCTGATTGATGAAATTCAGTCTGAGAATGAAGCATCAAATCATGATATTCACTGTATTTTTTCCCCTCAAAGACTCATAAAAATAGCTCCAATGTCCAATTGCAAGACCTGTCAACAAGCTTTTGCGAAGACCATGAATTTTTTTCCCTAACTATGTCATATGCAACTGTTTTACCATAGAGAATATATGGTTCACTTCTCAACATTGAAAACATTCTTCAAAACCTAGTTCTGGGCCTTCTGGCAACTTCGAGAGCAACATCTTTGTCTTGGTCGAGATCAATTAAAAGTTTCATTGACTGATGATGGCAGCTGGCTCGACAACGTGGAGGCCATGTGAGAAAAGAACTTGGTTAGGGCAGTGGGTAATTACTAATTAGCTTAGATTTATAGTGAGTCAGCGATTAGAACGTTCTGAAAAAATAAGTTAATTTGGAAAGAGTCAAAGAGGCAGACTTTTCTTGCTACAACATTACAGATATGATATTTCTTTTCTGCAAAATTTTTCACGGCTTTAGTAAAAGTTAGTCATCTTGCATTAACAATTGGAGTGATGATAACCGTTTTCATTCATGTTGAATGTGTTGATAGTTCTGCGGGATCATTTCATGATTGTGGGTGTGTTTTGTTTTGGCCGCAAATCAGTGTGATTTTGTATCAAAGTCAACGTGCTAGTCTTTCTGAACACAGCAGAAACATAAACTGATCCATTAATTCAGAGGTTTTTGCCTCTTTTTTTGGTTTTAAATGAGCAGAAGATGAACAAAGAGATCCCCAAAGTTGGCATCAGTTCATCTCATCTCTTTCAATCATTTAATTATCTTAATAAGCACAGCTGAGTAACTAAACAAGACCTTGACCAAAGAGCCAAATAAGAAATCACTGCATTGGCAGCATAAGCCTGTATAATAAGCTCAGAAGAACTGCCAGACGATTTATTCTAAGCAAAGGGGCACTCAATTATATCAGAACTTACAGCCTCACAACTTTCTTTATTGATGAACTTCTTTTTGTTTGATAATATACCAGGAATACTGAAACTCAAGTAATTAGCTACCTCCAACAAAGTATAGTAGGCAAGAAAATGATGTAGACGAGGAAGGATGTGCAGGTATGGCACCTAGTTCAGCCCATGGCATACTTCTGGGTCCAGCTCCGAGCTGTCGATTCGTACTTGACTTTGTCAGATTTGTACATATGAGCAATCTCAGGAACAAGAGGATCATCAGGGTTTGGGTCTGTTAGCAGTGAACATATAGAGAGCAAAACCTGGAGGTAGATATAGCTTTCAGTTTTCAAGATTCATTCTTCTAGTTTTGAAGTCCTTTAGATATATGTATTACTCGTTTAAACTTTGTGCAGCGTCAGAATCAACTAGCAAGCTTAATTACTACCTTGGATATGGTTAGCGCAGGACTCCATTGGTCTTTGAGTATGTCTAAGCAGATATTGCCATTACTGTTTATGTTTGGATGGAAAACCTTGGTCCTGAAGGCAACCTGAAAACAATTTATTGTTGGAAAAGGTAAGGGTGATTCTGCATTCATGTTTTAACTTGCATTAAGTCAATGAAATTGTTCCGTTTTCTTGACAATTTATACCTTGGGAGGTTTAAAAGGATAATCAGGTGGGAAATGGATGGTAACAAGAAAAACACCACCAGCATAGGGACTATCATTTGGACCGATAATGGTTGCTTGCCAATGGAACACATCCTCAGCCACAGGACCTGAAATTGCAGCATAAGTAGTTAGTTACCCTTCATACAAGAATGAATTAACTGTTATGGCTAGGCTCAGAAAGACTTTTCTTTTATCACTCTACCTGCACTGCATGAAGTTGGGGGATCTCTCTGCAAGTCCTTCAGCTCCTTCAATATTCTTTTCGACGCCATTAAGAAAATTTCGGAAATGGGAATTCAAGAGGGCGAGTGAAAATGTGAATGAAGGGAAAATACTTTATGGACGACCTCTAAAGGGAAGACAGATAGTGTATTTATGGAAGGAATTGCCAATATAGAGATCTACCATTTCTTTTCGTACTGATGAAAGTGGGCACAGCATAAATTCCCGGAGAAAAAGCTAGAAAGAATCAACTATCAAGAAATTTAGAAAAGGAGATAAAAAGCTTGGTAGATATTTGCCTTCGGATTGACATTTTGGTGCATTGAAACTGAGAAATCATTACTTGATCAAACGTATCTCTGTTTACAGTTGACCTTTGTTACAAGAGACAGATGGCAACAGTAAATCATCTTGCTCAGTAATCTATAGGTTAAATGAGACCAAAAAGAATCATTTGTTTCCAAGTCCATTTAAACTTTCTCAGTCAACCAATTTCATTCCACAGAATTCACCTTTTCTGTTGATAAATTTGATGCCTCAATAGAAAATTAATCATGATGATAGTGATCATATTCGTATGAAGCAGCATATGACAGCAACAAACATCAAATGATTATAGTTCTAAATAGAACCTCCCTCGCCAAAATCGTGTGATGACCAAAGTTTACTATCAAAAAATGAAATCCGATGTTACATCCATGGGGCATCTTGGAAAGTGCTGCTAGATTGCCACTACACTCCACCCAAGTCTCGACAGGAAAACGATTCGTTCTTAGCTAAATTGACTTCTTTAGTTGAGCCTCAAATACCCAAATGAAAAAAAAAAATTCTTTGGTTGAGAATCTGAGAAAGCAAAGAAGCTGACGGGTCCAAGAAGCATCATGGAATTTGATCATTAACAAAATCTTCCAAGAGAATATATGTGGATACAATATTCATCCGGCGTAAAAAGGTTCACGGACATGATATTCTGTCATCTAATTCGATGTCCCTGACAACCTTAAATTCAATGGAAGAACAAAAAAGCAAGATCAAGTAGGGGAACTAACAATATTCATTCAAGTGAAAAAATAACCACAAATATATATTAGAAAGATCCTTAAAATATACTAAATCAGATTACATCACAAAATACAAGAGGAAACAATTTTGGTTGTTCTTACAGAGGGGTTCTTAGCATTCCAGTCAATAGATCATGCAAATCTAAACCCGACAAAACAGAAGGGATAGCTATAACAAACACTTTAAAGGGCCATTAATATACAAATTCAAATACAATGGAGGAGAAAAAGGCATATATTTTGATGCTTATAGAGAGTTTCCCTAGTTCTGTCAGTTCATACTACATACCAAAAGGAGCTGTTTTCTCAAGGTGAGAAGAGATCGTAGATGTGGAGAGAGACTAACAGATTAAGTGGCTAATTGGTCATGGTATCCAACTTGGCACCCATAGCTCTTCTTTCCATGATCACAATATTGAGCAGGCCTTTTGTGCCTTTCTCTTCTTTTTCTTCTTCTGCTTTGGAGGCTGGAGAACCACTTTGATGGCCGCATCAAAGACAGCTTTCACATTCTGTATTTCAGGAAGTAATTAACACAAATCCCTTCATCGACTCAAAAACAAAAGGCTGAAGATAATAAATTGCCCCAATATTTATGTACCTGCTGTGTCTTTGAACTACATTCAATGTAAACAGGTGCTCCAATTAGCTTTCTCAGTTCCTCCCCCTTTCAGTGTGAAAAGAAGAGAAAAATAGAGAATCAAAATTAGGATATGATGCTCTCAAGTAAACATGACACTCTGGTCATGAACTACAAATAGCAGCATGACGAGATAATGCGAATAGCTTAGTAGAAGTTGTTATTATTATGAAAAGAAGCTGAGAGTACCTGGGCTGTGGTAATGGGTACTGCACCAGGGTGATCTATGAAGAACTGCTTATCATCCCGAAGATCTACAGTAACAAAATTTAACAGCTGTTCACAAATCATACACTGACAGCTTTAAAGATAAATTTAGCTGTTGTTGATGCCATATCTACTGGGAAAAATGTTCCAGAAGATAATTTCCTGGAATATTTACCAAGAACATTAGGAAACATAGGGAAAAGAATCGAAAATTACAGGTTGAGAGATGGAGTGCTTTCATTAGCTGAAGAAAGGTAAACATCCATTGGGTAGTTGCTACATTGCCTTTCTTGTTATTCATCTGCCACATGAATTTTTTTTTTTTTTTTACTCTTTTGAAACTTATAATGGGCTTCTTTCCTCCATGATTAATGATTCATGCCATAGGGATTTTGACTATTTAACTAGCTCAAGATAGAGTGATGAACTCATATGGAAGTAAACCCAGGAATACAATTTCAAAGAGAGAACACACAATAGGCCCCAGTTTAGAAATTTTGGGTTTATTTTCTTTCTTTCCCATTTTCTTCGAATGTCTTCCTCTTTTATTGGGTTCATGTTCTACTTCAGCATCTCATAGGATAAGTTCACATCACTTTCATATAATTCCCTAAGATTTCCTTAAAACCAGTAAATAGTGGTCCCAAAAAGAAAAGCTTTTCCTAATAGTTGATAGAACTTTTGTTTCAATTTTGTTTGGTCCACCAGCTAGAATGGGTGGGGGTGGGGAGGACACGAGCATCTAGATTATTCAACAAACTTCTAATATATCCAAAAAGATTACTTTTGATGACTCATTAGGAGAAACAATTTACTGGAAAATAAACAAAATGCAACCGATTATAACAGGGTCTATAAGTTCTGCAGGACTAAGCTAGTAAGTTCCCAAACTTGTCCTGTGAAAGCATTATTTCAAATACATTAGAAAACATACTAATTCAAGGCAAAGTCATAATGGACTGGCTGGAGTATACTCTAGGGGTAGATGCGAAGAGAAAGGTGTCGGAAATATTGTAAATTTACTAGGATTCATTGGCCTTAACAGCAACATATTGTATGAGGAAAAAATGAAAATTATTGCAGTAAGAGCTGAGGGAAAGGATCAGATAATCAATAAATTCAAAATAAAAGTTGGAGTATAATCTAACCAAGCTTAGTCCCAACAAGAATAATTGGAACACCAGGTGCATAATGCCTCAACTCAGGAATCCACTGAGCATTTGAAACAAAAAATGTATTAGCAGATCAAGTAATTTGAAAGTATCTCACTAAAAAGGAGGTGAAATTTTTCTATAAATAATAATAATCTCACTTTTTTAGCAATATTTTCATAGCTGGCTTTGCTAATGAGAGAGAATGCCAGCAGGAAGACATCTGCTCCACGATAGCTCAAAGGTCTTAATCTATTGTAATCTTCCTGGCCTGTTCCATGATAGTAAAACAAAATCAAAACTACCAAAATAAATATTCCAAGACATGAATAAGGAAGAATTATGGATTTGAAACTTACCAGCAGTATCCCACAATCCTAGATTAACAGTGTTTCCATCCACAACCACGTTTGCACTAAAGTTGTCAAACACAGTAGGCACATAGTCCTGTTTCCCAAGACATTGCAGAAGACGTGGGGAAAATGTTATAATCACCCTCTACAAAAATCATCTTAAAATAATCGTAAAAATGAAGTAAGAACTAAACAATCATGATTACAAAATTCACATCAATAGACTCTATATGGAGTAAGGTCTACCAAAAGGAGAAAACTCTAGCACAAAAATTTTTTATGCCAATGAAAAGAACACAACAAAACCCCAACATCATGGCCACCACCCAAGATTCACAGTCATGCAAGCACCTATCATGAAAAATCTCTAAATGGAACTTTCTACCAGCAATAGTTTCAGATATAGCAGTTTGTTTTCGTTCCTCTCTTCCTAGCACAAAACAGGAGAAATTTCCAGTTTTAACCATTTTTTGGAAATCACAATAGAAAACAATTTCACTGAAGATATAAAAGGTTAAAGTTTCAAAGGTTCATAGCATATGTATTGCCAAGCATTTGTATCTTGCTGTTTCAAATAAGCACTAGAAGTCTAAGTCGCAGGCCCAAGAAAAACTAGAACTATTTTGCAACTCCAAATTGACAATCTAATCACATCTGAAAAATGGTAATGGGGATATAAAATGGCAGACCCTCCCAAATTCCTTCCACTTGTGTCGCAAACCAAACACATCAAGACAACTAGGTAAGCTTCTTAGCCTTATCAATAAATTTAAATGTGAGGGGCATGGATTCAGTCTGCATAACACACTAATCCTCTCTTTCCAGAAGGTGAGCTTGATTTTGACATGTTAGGAGTTGAAGATTTTCTTAGATTTCCAGTTTTAACCTTAACTGGCAAATTAACATAAAAACTTACAAAAATAAGCTTCCTTTTCCTAAGATGATTCATCAAAACTCAAACAGACCAAGTAACGATAAGTTATAAATTATAAAAAGTAACAAATTTCAGCAAGTTTTTTATCCAAAAATCCCCAAGAAATTGTTCACTTGAACACAATTTATGAAGAATGATTCAATTATTCAGAATAATATTCTATACCAAATTCAAGATTGTAAAGATAAGTATAACCAAAGAGAAAAAAAAAAAAACAAAAAAGCCAATAAAGAAGGCAACTTTGTTAAAAGGTCAGGAACACCAGAAACCAGCATAGGCTCCGTTTGGTTGCCCATAAAAGCGGGGAAACAAAAAAGAAAAAAAAGACCGAACCCATGAAAACCCAAGTCAAAAACATTCTTTTACTTCTTTCTTCATGGATCAACTCTCTTTCCCTTTCCTACATTTTCTCAGGGACCAAACAGAAAATAGAAACCCTAAGAAACAAAAAAAAAAAAGGATGGTTTGTTTTTAACTTACGGTAGGGAAAGTATTGCTGGTGTAGGAAATGAGCATGCAAGTCTTACCGACGGCACCGTCACCGACTGTGACGCATTTTATAAACCTTGAAGCACTCATTTTTGCGCCAAGTGTAACCGGCTAAAGTGGAGAGTACGGTTAGAGTTGTTCTTCTCCCTACAGGCTAATTCTTTGTTTGTTGTCCAAATAGTGGAAAAGCAACGCAAAGCCTACTTCTTGTTGTTAAGTCACGACATTTTTTCTTATGTTGAGATGGGAAAAAGACATGAAGTGATCCGAAGTAAACTGAAAGACAATGTCTGAAGGAAGGAGAGAGAGAGAGAGAGAGAGAGAGAGAGAGACGATTTAGGGATCGCAAAGACAGCTGTCGGACAGCTATAACGAGGAACCGCTGAAACCCGGGCCCAAATTTCAACTCCTAACTTTACCCACCCTTTCACTTTCTCTTCTATTTTCCATTTTATTATTATTATTATTTAAACATGACAATTTAAAATACCGATAACAATTGAAATTCAGCGATTCAGCTCCTATGAAAGAAAAAAAAATGAAATTATTGATTAATTTATGAAAAAAAAAGTGTAAATTGTTTATCGAATTACTATTATAAAAAATTATAATTATAATCAAATTTATATACAATAAAATTTAAATAATTTTTTTATAAGATTACTATCAAATTGATAAGTTCTAAAACTATAATTTACATGATATTTGAACATTTATTTCAATAATAAATATAAGTAATTTTTTAAAAAATTAAATTCAAAATTTTGTTTTTTAAAACAATAAAAAAAATACATTAATAGTGTGGAATAATTATTAGGAACATAAAGCATAATATATGTAGCTGCAGAATTCTTATGCAGAGTCAAATCAAACTCTATTACCCAGGCCACAATCAAGAATGCTAGCGAGTTGTGAATTTTTTTTTTCTTGATGTAACCATGGAGTTCTTCACTTCACTCCCACAATCACAAAATTGGTGGGAGAGCTTTCCCATCTTCTGAAGTTTCCCTTCTTCTGAAGTAAAGTTGAAGAAAAATAAAAAAGTGGGGGAAAAAAAATTTAGAGATGAGAGAATCTTGGTTTTCAAGGAGTCCCAAATAGTAATATAGTCGCTTGAAATGGGGCACCCATTTTCATTAAGAAGAATTGATCAGCTTTGTCTGGTATAAAAATATATTATAATTATTGTAACCTTGGATCTTGTTCAATTTCTTGATAGATTAATATTTCATGTGCATGATTTATAAAAATTAAAATAAAAATTATCATATCATATTATCGTATTATTTTAAAATTGAGCACTAAATCGTTTAAGGGTAGTTGTTAAGTTGGTGAAATTAAACTTCGTCGGTCCATCAACTGCGACATCCCAACAAAGAGGCATCATTATTCGGGGTTTCGGCCAATGGTTTAGCTTTTAAGGTGGCCTCTGGGTGCAACGGTCAAACAAATTGGAGACTCCAGGAGACAGGACCCATATTTTCATTTGTTGTTAGTCTGAAAATCTGTTTAAACAATCGTTAGGTTTACACTTAATCATAAATTGGTTACCAAAGCAAAAACCATTTATTGCAAAGCTGCTATCACAAGTCATTAACAATTCATCACCAATCCACAAACACTTTGCCTTAACCTCTCAATATCGTATTATTTGCCTAATCAGATATAACCTATTTGGGTTTTTGCTGCCCCACGGTTCCTTTCTTTCTTTCCTCTGTAATATGTACTGAGCCAACCTTAGGTCTTTGATTTTATAAATTACTTGAGAATATCTTTCTATAGTAATAAATGAACATATCTACATATAGGAAGTAATTTAGGATTTTGACCTTTAATCCCTGACCATTAAGTTAAATCTTGGTGATTAAAAAGATTCCAAATCATCTAAAATCTGGAATTGGGCCAACTAACAGTATAACTATAACAGTAAACATTAAATTTCTCAAAGCATAGGGGCCGGTTACCACCAACTCCATGTGCATGAATAACCAATTTCCTACTGCTCTCTTTTCTCAATTCAACACCATTGTATCTGGCACTGCCTTGAGATGAGATGCCTTGTCCCCTAATTGCTTGTTCCTACCAATCACCCCTGCAATCAATTTCATACAGATAATACTAATAACAATAATCATACTGTTTTGTTCCAAATATAGTTAGGGCAACTGGATCGCATTTCTCCCTAGTTATGCTTCAATGACTGTCTAACTGTGCATGTGGATCTGGGATCCCATAATTATCATGTTTGATTAGATTCTGAGTTTTATGATAAACTCCAAGTGAAAATAATGTATTTAGTTTCAACTAGAATCATCAATTTTAAGAAATACTAGTATGATTTTTAATTGAAGTAGAAACAGACTGACAACAAACAAAAAACTAAATTAATAGTTGTTCAAAGAAATGAAAACTATAGATTAAAGAGTTGACCTCAGAAAGCAAGAATTAGAAACTCAATTGTTCACGTCCCTGCGAGGCCAACTCTGCAACCTACTATGGAGATATGGAGTACTTGAGCCGAAGGATTGTTTACATCAATGCACCAAAGCACTGAATATGACCATGGAACACTCCACTACTCCTGCCTCATCTGAACTGAATATCTTAGGTCAATCATACTTCCAACGCTGATTCCAATTGTCTTCCAAAGTTTTGCCCTGCTCTATTTCACTTATTTTTGTATCCAGCTGCTTGTTTCTTTGTAGAGATGTATCTTGTTTTACAGTAGATACTTTCCTGAGAAGTGATGGTGACTCTTTAAAGTAAATGGAAATAAGGCCAGAAATTAAAAATCAATAGCAATGAGCGAAAATGTGTGATTTACCTCTTCTCTGAGGTTATTTTTTGAGCAGACATCTTAGATGCTCCATTAGCAAATTTGGATCTCATTTCCCCTGCATTTACAAAGCATGGACACACATATTAGGCTGATTCCAGTTGCATAGATTTGCAACCAGCATGAGTAGAGAGGGTTTCTAATCTAACACCTGTAACTGCATTAAGAAATCTTATCCCTTGGGAGTGTCTACTTGTTGTCACCTTATCTCCATTTCTGCTCATTCAAGTACAGTTCAAACTAATCAGTTGTTTCTCTATTTTGTTCTATTTTTAAATGGACATGTAATTCCAGAGATATAATTTAAGCTATCCAATACGCACCTCAATGCCTGTTTGAGTGCTTCCACAGACAGTAGTTTGACTGGCTTCTTGGGCATTTTCAAGTTTTTTCTATCAGATAGAGGATCAATCATATATATTCCTTCTCATCTAAGAGGATTTCTAAATGCCGTTTTCAAGTTCCTGTAAGATTAGGGAAAAAAAAAGAATTGTCATTTATGAGGAATAAAAAAAAATAAATGAAGGGAGCAATTTAATTTGACAACACTAAGGACTCAAAAATAACATGGATCATTTGTCACCTACCCTCCCATTAGCTCAGCCCGCTTTGTGGAATATCTCTCCGATGCTTTCTACAAAAGATAAAAGAAAAGACTTATCTAGAGGTGATTTACTTCCAACTTCCAAGATGTTGGTTAAATGAGATAAAGATACATTAATCTCATGCCTGCCAATTTGTGATATTGGCAGTAAGCACTTTGACATCTGAAATAACAGAATGGGTTAAAAGTTAAAATATAAAGAGATAAATTACAAACATTCAGCATAAACCAGACTCCTCCGACTTGATGAGAGTTGAGCATTTTCTGTTCTTCTAACGTGGCAGTTAGACACCATACACTACAAGTAAACTGCAAACAAGGTAATGACTGATATTGCATGGAATTTTAAAATCTTTTTCAGTTTTTTTTAGCAACAATATCCAGTAGAAGCTTGTAACTCTTATATCGCTTAAAATCAAACGTTTAATATATACCATTTACCACAAAACAGATGTTTCTCTCAATCCCATTTCTTGATCAGGTAAAGTCCATGAGAGCCATTGTGCAAAGACAGTCAATAAACAAAAGCACCTTAAGGAAGACAAATAGCATACTTATTTATGACAAGTGTGCAAGCCATTCCATCCATTCTCTTTCCCTTACAAAATCCATAGTCAGCAGAAGCACCAATTTTTAGAATTTGGTTGGGTGCACTGACACTCATAGAAAATCCTGATCCTAAAGTATGATGCCAAAGGTATTAGTTTCTTTATTAACAGTACACAACATAAGCCAATTAACAAACGAAAAGTTGATACCTTAGTGTCTTTGCGTACGGTGCAACTGAACAATGCAAAGACTGTTCCAGCCTGCTCGTTACAGTTCTGTTGATAAGTGTCACCAAACAAGAAAAGAGCAACAATATTTTCATCTAAACACCCAATTTTCCATATGTTACAATTCTGCCCAATAGAACTAGTCTTTGGATTCCCCTTTTCAATTAACACTCGTACAGTAACCCAACATCCACAAAAAGTGTCTCCCGCCAACAAATTCCTATAACAAGTAAAAATATCTAGTCACGTATTCCATCGCAGTTTATATCTAACTAGGCTTCATTCAGAGCTTTGCAAGTAAAAGTCTAGCTAAGAACAAACTTGAAGGGAACTCACTGTCCAAAAGCAAGAAAACATCTTCCAAATTTTAATTACTTAGCAATAAAAGCATATATTACAAGCAGAGGAAGAACAATAACAAACTTTATAGTTGATAGCCGAACGAAACGAATATCAGACAATTGCTCACTTAGCTCTGCGGGGCTGACCAATTGCTTCCTGAAAACAGAAGAAAAGCACAAAGTAAACATGAAAAAAAAAAAAGTTCTGACAGAAAACTATCAAGGCATTTCCATTTAGTACATTTGGCTAGTTTGTTGAGAAAGTAGGAAAGTAGGCATGAAAAAGTGCAGTCTTTTAAGTCATAGTTTAACAATGTTTTTGCCTCCAATAATCAGAAGAGTCACCCAATTCAATCCAAGTATCGTTAGGCTATTGTAGTAGAATTGGAGTTGAACTTGGTTTTACCTTATACGCAAACCTCAAATCTTCTCAACTTGAAGATCATTTGAACTCTTTGGCTTTGACTTGGCAGATCTCTCAACTGGATTGGGTTCATAATCACGGCAATCTTCGACAACATTCTTGAAGACAGACAAGTCTGGCTTCCC